CTTGTGGGTAAAAAAGTGGAAAGAACTCAAGGGTGGTTAGGAGCCAGCCAATAACCACACCACCTTGTGGTTAAGTAGAATATTGCAGAGGCTTTTTTTAACCTAGTGAAAATGTTTGAGGGGCTTTTTTGAACCAGTTAGAGATACATTTTAGTTATTGTCGTAGCTAAGTCTATGACATTTTTAGGAGAACGCTAAGCTCCTGTCTTGGCTAATAGTGAATAACTAATTAGCCCCTTAATTTTTTGTGTTGTATTAGCTTTGTTTTGGCTTGTTTGTTACGTAATTAAAATAATTTTCAGCTAACTTTTACTGATTTAAACCTGTCTTCTGATATGTTTTACTTTGGCTAATTAAGATCTAGCTTCTTGGCTAAGTGAAAAGTTAAATTTTTCTTTGCTTACGTCATTAAAGTCAATGTATTGTATCATTTTGCCTCCGAGGTTCCCCAGGGCTCAGTGCTGGGTCCCCTACTTTTTACCATGTATAACACCTCACTGGGCTAGATGATATGCTAACATACAGTAGCTTTGCTTATCACTTGCTACGCTGATGACACCCAGCTCTATCTGTTTTGCCCTTCCTGATGTCGCCACAGTCTCTATGAAAATATATATATATAAATATACCTAAATATGCACGTGTGCGTATATATGTTTTTATTTTTAACTGAAGCTTCAACACTTCCTGTTTGGTCGTGTTCATCCTCCAACTGCTGTACTATATTTAGAGCTGTCTCCCAACCTAGGCGACCTCACTTCCTGTTCTCCTGTAGGCAGACTTGCACATCATCTGCACGAGTCCTCGGAATTTAAATAGAACATGCATATATATATATATTTAAACACTGTCTATAACAAGTTTTCACCTCCCTGTTTTCTTCTTTGACAAAAATTTACTAAAAGACAAATCCGAAAACAGATTTTTTTATATGGCATGGTAAAAATAGGTAATTAAAACTATTTAATTAAAATAAATTCCAAAAATATTCACCGCCTTTAAAATGACTGGTGTAATTCAGCTGACGTTACGCTATTGCAGAGGTGCCTAAAGTGGGGGGCGCGCCCCCAACGGGGGTCACATTGCCATTGCAGGAGGGGTGGCGCGGATGGAATGAATGAATGAAACGCAACGCAGCATATTGTCCAATGATGTAACTGTTTACCAAGAGACAGGGAAAAAGCTGATTGGTTGAAGGAGGTGTAAGAGGAATATCTGATGATAACATTATGAAGGAGGTCGTCATTTTTGTTTCGTTTTTTGGAGAAGCAATAGCGGTCTCAAAAATGTCTACAAATTGCTGTTGCCAACTTCTCCACACGTCCGGACCTGAGAGCTTGTTGTTCTGGGAAACTATTGTGCTGTATCTTCTCAGGTGAGCCGGTGCCTCGATCGCTGGAGGGTTTGTTTGTGTACGAAGAGAGGAGCACTTCTCCGCCTGCCAACGACACCATAGTAGTGGAGCAGTGGACGGTCATTGAGGTCAGGAACAGTAAGGACACTCGCCCTGAATCCCCTTGAATCGAGCCCAACTTGTCTTTGTGATACATGTGTTGCCCACATATCCAGGGCTCCAGTGTGAAGACCGACTACGGGCCTCTCCTTCACACTCTGGCTGAGTTCGGTTGGCTGCTCACGTGTGTGTTGCCCACGCCCATCATCAGACACGACAGGCGAGCTCGGCACTCCTTGTAGTCGTGATTAAAAAAAGATCGTTGTTCTGTCCGTTTTTTTTATTCCGTCTAACCGAACCTCCGTGTTCCTGTGCACAGTGATGGAAACCTAGCTACGAAGCAGGTGGTGTTCCTGCAGAGACCAGTCCGGAACCCAACAGGAGGAACGCTGAAGAACCAGGTGCGAGAAGAGAAATCCGTTGAACCAGTTCTAAAAAATTTGTTCTAAAAATAGTTGAATCCTTTACTTGGGCTAATATGCTAACTTTTAGCCATTAGCCTTTTTTTTTTTTGCTTAAGTTATATTTACAAAACGTACTTTAGTTTTGGTCTTGGTCTATTTGTACCAGCATGTTTTTTTTCTAAGATAATCTAGGCTAACAAATTAACTTGATAATCAAGTTCATATGCTATGAACTTGATTAATATATATGCATATATATATGTATATGTATGTATGTGCATATATGCATATATATTTACACACATATATGTAAATACATATATGTACAAACTGTATCTCATATATTTTATTTTTATATGTATACCCTTTAATTAGTATTGTTCATGGTTGTTTTGTCTGATATTATGCACATACATATAATATAATACCTAATATGCTATTTGTGGGGAAACACCGCCTCCTGCTGGACAACAATATAAACGACTTATAAATTCGTCACAACCTACTGACTTGGTCATGACCCAGAATTTGGATCAAAATTTTTCTCTATTCTATAGAAGATATTTATTTATAACCACTAGGGGCGCCAAAGCTACCCTTTAATCGTGTTTACTATTGCAGCATAAGGCATTTAATTTTAAAAGTACCTCAACTTTCTTAGCTACTTGTGAATTTTGACCGCCATTAACTTCACTATGGAATATTCGATCAACCGAAGGTTCCGTCCCGGTCATGAGATGCAGCTTTAAAATCCTTTTTTTTTCTGCTTCCTCTTCTTCAGACTCTGTCCGGGAAGAGCACTGTGTCCAGTCGCTCCATCAGCCACACTGTCAGCAGTCCTCCAGTCCCTTCAGACGAGCTGTCTCCAACCACAGGTGGCATCGGGGGCTTCCCAGTGTTTGGAGGTGCCTATCCCAGTGCTCTGTCCCATCTGGAGGAAGGAGGTTTTGAGCAGGAGGAGGGCAAAGCCGAGGTCACCTGCATGTGAGCAGGAAATCCAACGGAGAACACGGATGTAAAAAAATGTTTTCCCAGGAGGTGAACTTAAAGACGTGATTGAACCGTCCTGGTCCGCAGCATCCTCTCGGATCAACGTGTTTTCTTTTCTTCTTCTTTTTTTTTTTTTTTACTTTTATACTTTTACTGGAGGAACTCTGCACTTTTTAAAGATGTTTTTTATTCAAGCCATATGGAAGTTTTTAATTCACTTTTTATTTTGCATCAACACTTTTGCTTAGAACTACGCCAACCGATATTATCGGCCGACAGATATTAGCGTAATTATGCAATATCGGTAGGAATCGTTATTTCGTTTTTCCTTCAATAATGAAAACCCGATGACGCAATGCCTGGGTTTCGCAAGATATATGCTGGAATCGCTTTAAAAATGTATTTTGTACGGACGATGCCGACAGTGTGGCCTCCACGATAAAAGTAGCTAACGTGTTAATTCCGTGACATATACGTGATGTGACCTAAAAAACAGCTGCGGGTATCCGTATCAGTTGTTATCGAAATCGGAAATTAAGTGTTTGGACAATATCGGATATCAGCAAAAAAGCTAATATTGGACATCCCTATTTAAAACTTTGCGACAGGAAAATTGGACTCTCAATATCACATTTAAAAGTCACTTGCACTTTCACGAAAACACAAACTTCACCCTTCACGGGTTTCTACACATCGACATTGGTGGTGAAATGAACGGCACAGACTGTGGGTTTAGTATTCACAATGTAAATAACACATTTTTTTCTCACGATATAGTATTTTTTGTTTATAAACCCTTAGTGTTTCCCCCTTTTTTAAGCACCTTTTTCAGTAGTATCGGTGTGAAAACCGCACAGATAAAGCCACGGTCTCTCTCTCTGCACGTGGACTCAGACTACTGTTTCGTTGGGACAATGGTACAGAACAGATCTGAACATACACCTGCTGTGGGTGAATTTGAAAACATGGCTGTTTTTTTTTTTTTTGTTTTTTGTTTTCATTTTCAGTATGTTTCAAACAGTGTTCCATTGTGGATGTGGCCATGAAAAATGATGACGTTCTATGATGCGTTTGGGTTCATGTTCATGTGATCAGTGTTTTTTTTTTTTTACTTTTTACTTTAATGTTTGATAATTGCTGCTTGTTTTTTTTTTTTTTTTCTAAATAAGGCTGTCACTTTATTTTCTAAAATCAAGTTTGAACTCCTTTTTTTATCATAATTTTGTTGCTATTTCCTGTTCCATTTTTGTTGGAGTTGTCTGCTAAAGAAAGCTGAGTTCTTTCATTCGTGGGGAAATTCACAGTGCGAGTCTTTGCAGTGCACACAGGCTGCCACAGGAGGCGCCATTAGGGATACGTGGTCATGATAACTGCTACAACACGGAAACACTTATAACAATGGAACATGTATCTGGTTATTGTCACAAAAATTATTTTCACAAAAACCAATGCATTTGTTTAAGCACGTTCGAGACGTGCGATCTAAAAGCAACGTTGTAGGGATCACTCAAAGCGCCCTCTGGTGCTTTATTCTGTAACTACAGATGGGGTGAGACAAACAGATTTTTTTTTTCATCCCTTAACTTTCAACGTTATTAAATCAAAAGTGACAGCCTTATATAAGAATTGTAGATGGTACTATAACTTTAACTTTCTAACAAAAAGTTGAACTAGAAAATACATTTGAACAATGCTAAAATATCCATGATTATTACGATCTAGTTCTCGTCAAGGTAAAATATGTCGTATGTTCACAACCGGGTGTTTTTAGACTGAAATGAAAAATACTGTTTTGTTAAAATATTTGTGATAAAAACACAGGATTTGTGTAGAACTTGGCAAATCCCACAGAAAGGGAAGTAACCGTATGTAAATATTTAAAAGACGTTAACGTTGTAACCGAAGGTGTTTCACTTTTCCAACTGTTAATATTTTTGACACATCTATGAAGCAAGTGATTATTTTGCTACAAAATGACAACTTTTACCAGGCGACCAAAAAAGGTTGAGCGTTCCTATTTTTGGAATCCGGTAAAAGGAAGAGCTAAAATTTTATTACAATGTAAAAAGCATTCGATTGTTGTCTGTCTTCCGAGGGTGTAACCGTTTCTCAGATTTAAATCAGTATTATTCCCGCCTTTCTTCCTGTAAGAGCTGTTTTGGAAACATTTTATTAAATATTTACTTCCCATGATTCAACGGTGTTTATCGCTTCTACTCACTAAATAGGGAAACACGGCGAACACCAACTGGAATAATAGGTATTTTTATTAACAGACAGTAAATGTCAACAGTAACAAAATCTTTTAGTTCATTAAAAAAAATCAAGTGGGTCGGACTGACAGGACTCCTCCCACAAAATAACTTAATAAAAGGGAGGATAAAAGACGAGGTTTTCCGCTCCGGTACATGAACACAGCCAATGCTCGCTTCATCCTTGTGATGTTTAAACGCCAAAAGGTCAAAGCAGCAGAAAACAGTGTCGTAGAATTGGCCCATGAAGTCTTCCTTTCAGTTTCTGTCATGTCAAGGAAAGTTGTGAGTACAAAGGCAAATTTTAACACAGTAGTAAAACTGGGGGGTGGATCACAAAGGAGGCTGGGAGTTAGCCTCGCAAAGCCGTCTACAATCTCTGGGAAAGACCAGAGCGACAACATCCGACTGCTAGCACACTGGCGACGCTAAAGATTATGTTGATTTTTTTCTTTTTTTTTGGTTCACTACCACACGAGCCACAAAACCTAACGTTGTGATTGAAAAGCATTGTTTTAATAAGTCAGCAGGCTTAAAAAAAATTGGAGATTTGGTTCAAGGGACACCCCACCCAAAAAAAAAAAAAAAAAACAAAGCAAAAAAGAAACACAAGCAGGTCAGAACAGAAGCAGAGACAAACCAACTGTGAGAAAACGTGTGAATAAACGAGAGGGAGTGGGTTTATTTACAGACAGGGAGGCTGTCAGTGTGTCAACGATACAGATTTGCAACCCAAAACGGGATTTGTTTTGGTTTTGTTTTTTTTTTGTTTGCAAAATCAGTTACTTGAAAGGATATGATAAGAAATAAAAGCTTTCCCTAAAGGAGTAGTGTGAGAGCAGGGCTGCGTGAAAACCGTCCAGAGACACAGTTGTGAGTAGAATGGACCCAGACACTGGAGATGTCTTCAGGCCTGAGCTGGAGTCTGGACATTTTCTGGAGTTTTAAAACCTGAATAAAGTCAGTAAGTCCAAGTGAGGAGCTGGGAAAGGCTCCAGTTCAAACCTGGGAAACCTAACGTCCTGCCTTCACCATGTTCCGAGACGCTACTGCTGTCATCGACACAACTCACTTGGATAATCTTGTGCAACTTTTTTTTTTTTTCCATATATGAACTGCAAACTCTAGAGAATGTCCAACCCCGACTGCCCCGCAGCGCTACCTAGAGTTTATTTCCAAAAACGTCTGAACAAACGTCCAAAGAGTTTAGTTGTAAGTGACGGGACTTCTTCTTGGAGATAGAAAGACTTTTTGTTCCTCAACTGAGGATCAGTTTCTGGTTGATGTAAGAGGGACGAAAAAGTCTCTCTAGCTCCAAGAAGAAGTCCCGTTGCTTACAACTAAACTGTTTGGATCACATGACCAGGATGAATGAGAAACTTCACCGTCTGAACCAACAGACACTGAAGGACCGAGTGAAAACGTGAATAGATTTTTAGATTTTTTTTTAAAAAAAAGGAGTCTTGGACTGAGCGAGGACAAAGAGTTTAAATCTGGACAGAGACACTACACACTGCGTATTAGAGGACACACAGTGCGTCTATGTCTGAACACTGCTTTCACACTGCTTTTTTTTTTTTTCACCATTTTTTTTTTTTTTAGATGGACACAGGAGACGTTAAAAGAGGGACATAGACAGTGTTACCAAACAGGAGCTTTTACAGTAACCCACTGTAGTGTGTACACCAATATTTTACAGTAACCCACTGTAGTGTGTACCCCAATATGTGTTTGTTTGTGTGTGTGTGCGCGCGTGTGTGTGAATGTCTCCTCCGTACTGTGTCGAGATCAAATGTGTGTTTAATGCGCCTCTCTCCCTCACACCAGCGGTGGCAGCAGCGGCAGCAACAGCATCGTCAGCGCCTCAGGCCTCGCTCTCGCCGGCTGATGAGGTGTTCTGAACCTCCTCCTCCAGGATGGGAACGATCAGGTTGTCCTTGGACATCAGGTTATACTTCATGACGAAGCGTGTGAAGCGGTGACACAGGAACGTTTCATTCTGTGTCCCAAACAAAAAAATTAAACTTTTCCTTAAGTTTTATTTCTGGATTTCAGGAAATACAAGACTACCATATGTCCAGGTCTAGGGATATCCGATATTAACTTCTTGTCGATATCCGATATGCTGATATTGTCCAAACACGTTTTTTCCCGATTCCGATATCAACCAATACCGATATAGAGGGGCAGTAATGGTGTGGTGGTTAAGGAAGTTACGTGCGGCTTACTGAAGTGATAGGTTAGAGCAGTGTTTATCAATTATTTTCTGCCATGCGCCCCCTAGAGGATAGAAGTTTTTTCACCCCTTTTCCCAAGTAATATTTATTTATTTATTTATCTGTACAAACCACTGTAAGAGTTGCTGGCACCAGCATCCTGCATACAATTCCCTGATGACTGATCGCTAGATGGCAGCATCGCAGCTCATTTTACTAATCTAGTTTACATAGATTAGTAAAATGAGTTGATGCTGCCATCTAGTGACTTTCACTTTTACATACAGCTGTTTTTTTCCCAAAACTATTTTTAGGGCACGGCATTTGGGGAAACCCAGACATTGGGTTTTCCTTAAGGATTCTTACAGATATTATGTAACTATGCTAATAATTATCGGGCGATAATATCCGGCTGATATTACCGGATAACTCCAGTTTATAACTTGTTGTTTTAAACACACTATGGTACAAATAAAACAGTGACTTTCCTCCGAGAATCCTACCTCATACTTGTCAAATATCTGGCGGTGATGGAAGTAGGCGTGAGAGAATATCCTATAGATGCGGCGACAGACGGAGCCCAACTTGGCCACGGACGATTCTTTGATGCTCACCCTAACAAAATAAATAAAAATTTAAAGTTAAAAATGAAATGAGCAAACACTAAACCATTTGTCACTTTACCCAAAGTTGACCTACTTTAGACTCCACTAATTTGCAGCAGCCCAATAACTTACCTGCTGGGAAAGTACTTGTTGCTATTAAGAAGACAGGCAGCTCCGTCCAGCGTGTGCCTGGTGTAGTCAATGGCAGGGCACTGTGGACGAAAGACAGGGTTTAAGTGTCACGAGCCCTGCCGCTGCCAGACAATGTCGAAGACTAAATGAGTTGTGTGGAAACCAATCACCTCTTTGGGTGTCTTATGGGCAGCACATAGAAAGATCCACTGCTCTGTAGCTGTCATCTGGGTGCAGGTGTCAGGATGACACTCGCTCTGAGGGACGACAAAGCAGCACCATTACACCAAATTCACCTTTAATTTTTTTTTTTTCACGCATTATGTTGTATTAGCATCAGAATCTTTTTGGTTTTATTGTATTTTAAGTGCCAAATGACGTAAAGTGCCTCAAAAGTGGCAAAATTATGGTTCTACATTTCCACAGAAAACAAATCTTTAATCGTGTTATTAATGTCTATGATTCACCTGCTACCCCAAATAAAGGACCTTCTATGAAAAAGTGAATGCATTTTTTCGATTTAACAGAGCAACCAATACTTGCATCAAAGAAAGAAAATCGCGATCTATCTCTTACCTGTAGTTTTACAGCTAGTCCATTTAGCTCCAGACAAAACTGCCTGCAATGGAACAAAAGGGGAATAACTAAGGATGAGGGACTTATTCACTCACTTATTCAACTAAACAGTGCATCCATATAGATAATATGATAACATCTAAACTAGCATTTTACATACATCAGGGTTGGTTATCTGGTCCAAGGACACATCGATATATAGACTAGTATGAGATCCACATACACCACAGAACTATTTTTAGTCTAAAATGATTTTAAATAAACACAATACAAATAAGAGTTTTAACACTCATTGGCAAAAAGCTATAATAATCCACCTCAAAAAACAAGGCCTTTCATTCTCATCTCACCTTAGGTGTTCATACTTCCACACGCCCTCGTCTTGACCCTCTGGAGGTTCCAGAATTTTGTCAATATTTGAGCAGTCCGATCTAATGTTCTGTTGTATGTACTGAAAAAGAGGTGCATAGATCAGATGTGTCATGTGTGTTACGTGTACTTAAATGTACAAAACAGTCAAAACATTGACATAACAACCACTAACATCTAAAAAAGATTTTTTGTAAAACTAATGTGCGGGAATGACATAACAACCACTAACATCTAAAAAAAGAGTTTTAGTAAAACTAATGTGTGGGAATAACTGATCATTTTCCCGTTTTGTTTTGTTTTTTTTCTCTCTCTCTCGCTGTCAAAGACAGGCAGACATACTGACAGAGACACACACCTGTTGGACAGCAAGTGTGCTGTCCATTTCCTCAAATGACTCATCCGGCCAGTTGTAGAAATCCTATACACACAAATGGGAACACGTTTAGTTCCCAGCCAAAGTGGAAAAATCTGACATTGCAGTCCGAGCTACGTTAGCTGACAAACATTAGCCATCAATAACTACGTAAACATTTTACTAAATGTGAAAGAGAAAAAGACAGGGCGACAAAGGACGGAATAATCATTAGCTTTCTTCTAATACCGTAAAACATAAGCAAACTACAACGCTAAAACTACTACCTTGAAAGGTTAAACTTGTGAACTTGTGTGTATTATGCATAAGGGAGAATTCGTGACTGTCAATAAGTGTACGTAAATGTCACAAATACTTCCTGCCACTACTAAACTGACAACAGAAAAATCATTATTGAAAAAAAAAATTAATGAGAATAAGCCAACAAACTGTTAGACATCTTGCTTATGACCTTATAATATAAATATAGTCAAGGTAAACAACCTCAGTTTTCCCCATACTCAATGCTATGAGGCTAAACTAACCCGTAACGCTAGCTTAGCCTCATTAGCAGCTAAAATAGACGGCTAAAATATAACCCATATGTTTTGCGAGTATAGTGTGTTGTTTTACATAACAAAAAGCTCATCATGAGCTCATGAACGATCAGGTGAGACGGAAGTTTGTTCGTTTATTCACTGCTCCCAGATGCAGGACGGTTCATTAGCTGTCAGTGCTAACGGAACTAGGCCTTTCCTGTAGCCTCTCTGCGACCAAGTTGCCGAGAAAAGCGAGAGTTATAAAATTTAGAGAACGCGTTTTTCTAAAACAAGTATCCACTATGAATGTTGTAGATAAGAACAAATATAATTGAACCCATAAAAATGACATTGAGACCTTAGCCTTGGTTCCAGGCCGATTCCTCCTGAGAACTGCAGTACCCTCCGCCATGACCATCTCGACAGAATACCCGGATGTTAATCGACGGCGGCGTCGTAGACAGACGGGAGTCCGTAAACGCAACACGAACTTGATAGGCACTTATGCCCTGTTTAGCCCTTGTGTTTTCTCAATTTTTGGGTCCATCTGCAAAATTGCACTAGAATATTTTGGGGTTTTAAAGAAATTCAGTTATAATGTATTTATGTATATTTAGATATTTTATTTTAATTTTAAACAGAATAGACAAGGCTTATGTTTGCAATTACATTTTATAGTCAAGTTTAATCCCTGAAAAAAGGGACAAAGCTGAAAGAAAAAGAAAGAAGAAGTGAAGTTTAAGTCTCATTTAAGTTAAAAATGTACTATATTCAGGACCCGGGGTTGACAATTCACAAAAAATAGGCCTACCTTTAGAATGGTCTTATCAAAAATAACCATCCGAGTTGTGTAATAAGGAATCATTTGCCCAAAGATGACTTGATATTATTTGCACCAGTAGCTGCAAATCATGGGGCTGCTGATACCATTACAAACTTCGACAACTTTGAGTGAATCAAGATTTTCCAACTCTGCATCTTTGACAAATTTGTCTTCCAGTTTCCATTTTTTAGACTCTGAATACATTTCTTTGGTTAATCATGTTTCTATGTCCCTATTGTATGTCTCAGAACTCATTATTATTACATTGTTCAGGAAGTCTGTATCAAACAAGTAGCTCTTCGTATTACTAAGTACCCTTGAAGTAGCTCTCAGTTTCAGAAAGGTCAGTGAGTGCCTTATATTTTCAGGTAACTAAGCACATCAATTGCATTTTAACAGCAGTCCTGAACACACTACCATTATTTGATAATCTGAAAATTGTTTTCTGATCATAGCCTTATTACTGTATTTACCACCAGGCTAACTGTTAAATTAGACAAGACAAGACAAATAGTTTCATTTTTATTCTTGTAACAAAAAGATCTGAATTATTTACAATTGGAAAAATGACAGGAAACAGACGAGGAGGAGACAGGCGTAGGCATCTGACTTTCTTCTTTCCAGGAATAACAGAGTAGGGATGTTAAAAAAAAAAGAAGAAGAAGCTAAGACTCACTCGGTGTATTTACCGAGGATGTCTCCATCACGGAACAGGAAATATTCCTGGGGGGGAAAAAAAAGCAAAGGAATTGAAAACCTATGAAGAAATATCAGGAAATAATCCTTCTAATTATAAAAATAATAATTCATTATATTTAAAACTTTTTTAAACCTTTTCCTCCAGCACAACTTTAGTTCCTCCATATTCTGGTAGAAGAACCTTTTCTCCAACCTTCACACTGACTGGCAGCAGATCCCCTTTCTGAAAATTTCAGAGAAAATGCGTTTAGATTAAAAAAACAAAAACAACAATTGTAAAAGTCGTCAAGGTTTAAGACACCTACCTGGTTTACGGAGCCAGGTCCTACTGCCTTCACCATGGCCTGCAGCACTTTGCCTTGAGACTTCTCTGGCAGCATAATGCCGCCCTTGGTCACAGTCTCTGCTGTGAAACGCTCAACCAGCACACGGTCAAACAGAGGCAGGAATTTCCTAAAGGCCTGCATGAGAAAAGTTTCAAGATATATCAGTATATTGTTATACACAACATAAACTTGTAATATATATCAGTATATTGTTATACACAACATAGACATAAACTTGTAATACGAAAGTAGTCATAATGTTTTTTTGCTGGGCTGTAATAGGATACCTGGTAAAAGTAAATATGCCCCAAATCATGTTTTTTGCATATTTGAGGTTGTTAACTCTTCTTTACATTTCATGTTACTATTCAAAGGTTACACGTAGGTAAAACTGTAAACTAGGTTTACCTCAGCTACCTCTACTGAACAAATATAAATGCATACTTTAGATGGTCTGAAGTGATGCAAACCTGTACACCTTGACTTGACCCGGATTTTAATGTTGATTTTAAATTTTTATCTTTTTCAGATTAGTGTTAGTTTAATTAAATCTTTTAAATAAACCCTGTAGGCAATTCAACGGTTAAAGAAAAAATTAATGGGAAAACAATTACATGACCTAAGTTAAGCTAAGGATTAAGGAGTACTAAAAAGCAACACAAGTGAACTAAAGGTTAATAAACTCCTAACAAGATGTCACTTTTTGTCATAGAAAATGTAATTTAGGACATCAGCTGACACAATTTGGACAACAGCAGACACACCAGTGACCTTGGCTGAAGGTCATTCGAAGATGGGTTTTCTCCCTCACTACAACATTCTACCCTAAAGCTGGGGGAGGGCAGGGACTGTTTCATGGGAGACAGCAAATTTTACTCATTACTACAACGCTGTCACTTATAAAGATATGGGAAAATGTTCAATCCAAACTCTGCCTGATAGAACATTTGATTACAAAAGGCTCATCTCTGGCAGGACATAAACCAAATCTTTATTCTTATTAAGCAGTTTAAAGTTAAAATATTGAATGAAAAAAAAAACAAAAACAGAAACCATCATTAATCGAACAATTCACATCACCATGGTGCTGCATTTGGACCCTTTGAAAAGGCATTAAGAAAACCATTAAACATTACATTACAACACATTTGAAGCACATTGTGCTATTTGTTTCAATCTATACGACACATTCAAAAAAGAAGCATGTCTGCGCATGACCTCTTATGAATTTAATAAAGCGTTTACATGACTCAACTTTAAAACGAACTGTTGCAAATTAATATATGGCACTGGAGTGAGTGCAGCTGTCAAATAGTGTCATATTTTTTACAAAATAAGGAGCAAGAGAAAGTGACTGTGAATGTCCTGCCAATTTCTTTCTGCGCACACGTTCTCAGTGGATATAGTGGGTTCACTTTAACAGAAAGACCACGGTTCGATTTCTAGTCACAAGTCTCAATTTTTCCTCTGCGCTGTCTTTTAATACTAATTTTCATCTGACGAAACTGTGTTAAACCTTTTCACCTGTTTGACCTTGTTAATAAATTCGAACAGTAGCTAACAAAATTAGCTGCTAACTCATACAGATACTACATTAATTTGTGGCCTTCTTATGGGTTTTCCCTTCTGTAAGATTTGTAACATCTGTCGCCATTTTATAATATTGTCTCTTACCATTTTCTTCTTTTCGTTGTTACCGCCGTGACAATGTGCGTGAAGCTGCAGGTCTTGGAATCGTGACTGTAGACCGGTCTGTTCACCTAGGGAAGGTTCTACACGTGAGGACGAATCTTCCAGAACGCGCATGCGCATCACGTAGGGAAGCCAGTAATTTGCCTGATATAAAAAAATAGCAAAAGTCGTCTGCTTGCCTAAGCACTGTATTTAAAAATATTTCTGAATGTTACAGACCACAAAGAACACATATGTATTCAAAAATATATTAAATCAATTGTTTCTTAACCATTCTTATGACATTTGGCCATTTAAAGTTGGCGCAATATTGCACAACGTCAACTTTGACCTTTATGTCCCCTTCCAATAGCTCGCAAGAAAATTCTGGAAATGTTGGCCCCGGAACGAGTATAACAAGTTTATAACTATTCAAACTACAATTAAAAAAGAGTTAACAACTAAAACCAACACATGTTATATTTCTTTTATAGCAATTCAACAGAATAGTCTATGCTCGAGTGTGTAGTATCCTGTGAAAAAAATATATTTTAAAGTTATTCTAGTTATACACAGTCAAGGGCACGCCGGTAAATACCCCGGATGTGATAGTCCATGTGCAGTCTGGTCCTCGGTTACTCCACACCGTCGTTCTCTCCTCTCTGCTACCGTGCAGAATTTATATCACCTTGTAGCAGCTTCAAGCTCTCGACAGGACAAGTATGTATCTGATATTTGTCATGTGTAGCTTTCATGTTTAAACTATTGAACAATTTTATTACCAGGATAAGGGACTGATGGCAGAAACGCCGATTATTTCTTAGTTTTGTACTAGCCATCAAAATGTTTCTACCTTCGAATTTCAAGGACATGTTTGCTGAAATGTTAATCCGTATTTAAACTGTGAATGAATGGATAATTGATATCAGCGTAGGTAACGCTGACGCGATGTTTTCGTTTTTTTCCGTAAAGCGTATGACATTTATCAGGATGAAAACTATATAATGAAGGTAAACGGTGATAGTAAGGTGATGCTCAAATATGGTTACATCACGTGGAGTAATTAGTAATCTTCTCTGTATAGTGATCAATCACCATGTTGTTGGATTCGGGGTTCAAATGAGTAAAAGTACGAATGAATGAATGAACGAACGTAGGGACAGAGGGAAAAGATAAGTCGCGTGGTTCAGACGTTTGACCTTGCAACTCAACGACCTCACGAACACACGTGTTTTCACTAAGTGAACATCTTGACTTTGATAGTTTCATAACTTGATTTTAGGGATCAGCAGTTAAAAATTATACCACTAATATAACACCCATGGCATTTACTGAGTCACTTAAAATATTGCCTCACGAGAAATTTAACTTTGGTTACTTAATTATTTTTTTTCACAAGTTCTGTAAATTATAGTAGTCCAAATACGTGTTCACTTTTTTGTGTTTTTCTGTAACGATATTTCCAAAATGACAACCATAACTATCTTTTAATGTCACTTTTGGACCAATTTTTCCATTGAGGACAAGTAATTTTGCATATGGATTTGAGACGATTGTGGAAATTTGTGTATTAAACTATGATAATTTTAACAATTATAATAGCTTCAATATTAAAATATTGGCTCATAAATCACCTAATGAGTGGAGTTGTACTTCAACAAAACAGTATTGGTAGAAGAAAATAATAATCTTCTGGAACAGTAGTGCTGCTTTAGGTCATCTTAATCCCAAAGAATCAGAAATGCATGGAGACGGGGGTAGAATAAACATTGGGGCTAGTGTTGGAGATTAATACAATTTCAGATGTACTTGACTCAATGCAGCAGATGAACACACTTAACCTTGTTTTTGTTCATAATGCTGTAAAAAAAATCTGACCTTTTTCTCTCCCCCCAAACAGACATGTTTCGTCTACCTACACTCATGAAGCAGGCGAGGCCTGTGTGTCGAGCTCTGGCCCCTCACCTCACTCGAGCCTACGCCAAAGACGTCAAATTTGGTGCCGATGCTCGGGCACTAATGCTTCAGGGCGTCGATCTGCTGGCTGACGCTGTGGCTGTCACCATGGGGCCTAAGGTATGATCAGAAATTCATCTTGCTCTGTGAAGCTTCTGTCTGTTAAGTGTCAAATGTTAAAGTCTGTCAGTTATCTTTAATTTTTACAAAAGTCTTAATTAGTCACTTTCCGTCTCTCAGGGTCGCACCGTCATCATTGAGCAGAGCTGGGGCAGCCCCAAGGTCACCAAGGATGGCGTGACGGTGGCCAAAAGCATCGACCTGAAGGACAGGTACAAAAACATTGGTGCCAAGCTGGTGCAGGATGTTGCCAACAACACCAACGAGGAGGCTGGCGACGGCACCACCACTGCCACCGTGCTGGCCCGCGCCATCGCCAAGGAGGGATTTGACACCATCAGCAAAGGAGCCAACCCTGTGGAGATTCGTCGTGGAGTAATGATGGCAGTGGAAACGGTCATTAGTGAGCTGAAGAAGCTGTCCAAGCCCGTCACAACTCCAGAAGAGATTGCACAGGTATGATGGGGGTGGGGGTGATAAGTTGAGTGTGTTTATATGAAATTAAACCCTTAGTTGGGAGTAGTGATGTAACCTTACAAAGTAAAGCTAATTCACTACAGCACTAATGGGTGTACAGTATGTAAGAGAGCGTCCAACTCAAAACCCTTTGTGATTAATATTAATAAATCTACACTCCTGGCTGTGCTAAAGTGTATTTTTTGTTTTTTATTTAACTGTTACATTTAGTCATGTCTTTGTTACATGAGTTTTTATTTTTTTCTTTTGTAGAGTGGGACTAGCCTCAAAGATTATTTTTTTTAAAAGACTTCCAGAGTAACAGTAACCTAATTATGTAACCCATAATCATGTGGCACATTGTCAGACTGGACTAGCTTTTTAATTCGACCACAAAACTTTTCCAAATTATAATCTATTTATATTATCATTATACTTCTGCCTTTTCTCTGCAAAACCCACGTTTCCCCAATAGATGGCGTAGAAGATGCTCAAAGCATTTTAGCCTTTATGTATGCCTTTTACATGTCATTTATCTTAGTTCATACGAACGCTTCATCTATCTGCTCCTGACCCGGCCCCTCTGTTCAATTTTAGGACAATTGTAACCAGCGAGTCAAAACTTTGCCCACGCCTGGTCTAACATCTAATTAAGGTTTATCTATGTTTAATGGTGCTCTCTGGTCTTTTCAGGTGGCCACAATCTCAGCCAACGGGGACGTGGAAATTGGTAACATCATCTCTAGTGCCATGAAAAAAGTCGGCCGCAAGGGAGTCATCACCGTTAAGGTTAGCCTTTTTTTCAACTGTTTGTAAAATCTCATAAAATTCAGAGAATGTCAAGCGTGTAGGTAACGTTGTTATTTTACATCTCAGGATGGAAAGACTCTCCACGATGAGCTGGAAATCATTGAGGGCATGAAGTTCGACCGTGGATACATCTCACCTTACTTCATCAACACTTCCAAGGGTAAATGTGCCAATTTGTTCTGAGCTAGTCCGTTAACTGCCTGATCCGCCTGAATGTAAGAGACATGTAAATGTAATGAATTCTGCATTTGAATTCTTTGCATTCTCAGGTCAGAAGTGTGAGTTCCAGGATGCATACGTGCTACTAAGTGAGAAGAAGATCTCTAGTGTTCAGAGCATTGTACCTGCTCTGGAAATTGCCAACCAGCACCGCAAACCTCTGGTTATTGTCGCTGAGGATGTGGATGGAGAAGCTCTCAGCACACTGGTTCTCAACAGGTAAGTCGAGATCATTTGTTTGATCTTGGGATTAAAATAAAAAAAGCTGAAGTCAGAGACCTAGTTTTCCTCTCAAGCATGTGTTAAAGCGCCGTCAACATCTCAATCCGTAGGCTCAAGGTTGGACTGCAGGTGGTTGCAGTTAAAGCCCCAGGCTTTGGAGACAACCGCAAAAACCAGCTGAAGGATATGGCCATTGCCACAGGGGGCACTGTAAGTAATACTTTACCAATGACCTTTGAAGAGGTCATGGAGGAAAACAATCTTGATTGTAAATGTCATAAACATTTTTTTTTGCAATTCTGCAGGTATTTGGAGATGAAGCAGTTGGCCTGGCTCTTGAAGACATCCAGGCTCATGACTTTGGCAAGGTTGGAGAGGTCCAGATCACAAAAGACGACACCCTGCTCCTCAAGGGTGGCGGCAGCCCGGCCGAGGTCGAGAAGCGAGCAAACGAGATTGCAGAGCAGCTGGAAAACACCACCAGTGACTACGAGAGGGAGAAGCTGAATGAGAGGCTGGCCAAGCTCTCAGACGGAGTGGCTGTGCTCAAGGTACGACTGCTTCAGCTAAAAGAGGTCGCGCGCTGCTCCGTTCACAAGTCACAGCAACCCTCTGGTTGTGTTTCAGGTTGGAGGAACAAGTGACGTGGAGGTGAACGAGAAGAAGGACAGAGTGACCGACGCTCTGAACGCCACCAGGGCTGCCGTGGAGGAGGGTATCGTCCTTGGTGGAGGCTGTGCTCTGCTGCGCTGCATTCCATTGCTCGACACCATCACCCCTGTCAACGAAGACCAGAAGATTGGTAAGTCGTGTGTATATATACACACACAAAAATGATCGTCAGCTTTCAACACCGGCCCTGAATTCTGAATACAATTTTCTAACCGTCACGACCAGGTATCGACATCATCAGACGGGCGCTGCGTATTCCCGCCATGACCATTGCAAAGAACGCAGGCGTGGAGGGTTCTCTGGTGGTGGAGAAGATCCTGCAAGCATCGCCTGAAATTGGCTACGATGCCATGCAGGGAGAGTTTGTCAACATGGTGGAGAAGGGAATCATCGACCCCACCAAGGTACGGAGCAGTCTGTCAGAGTCTGAGTTGGATACAGAGAACTGAATCAAACTGAAGTGCTATCATGGTCAATTCTGCCCCCTAGTGATTAATTGTGTCAAATGCTTTATATAAGTTCATTAGGGGGGGAAAAAAAAACCTACTAACAAACACTCTCGTTGACCCATCTCCAGGTGGTGAGGACAGCACTTCTGGACGCTGCAGGTGTAGCTTCTTTGCTGTTCACCGCTGAGGCCGTTGTCACGGAGATTCCCAAGGAGGAGAAGGAGATGCCAGGAGGAATGGGTGGTATGGGTGGAATGGGAGGAATGGGTGGAATGGGTGGTGGCATGGGATTCTAAGTCCACCCAACCTCCTGACTTGTTGCTGTACAGACTCGATGGGCAGAGAGAAGTTGAACGTGGGGAAAACCTGCCTCCACTAATGTCCTGCTCAGACCAACTGGGGCATCACTCTGCCCTGCCCTCTCAAAAAAAAAAAAAAAAAAAACTATTTAAGTCTCCTGTCTGTGTCTTTGGGGAAAGGTCTTTACCTGACTCGGCCAAGAGAAAAAATTCCAGTTTCTACACCCAAACCGATGGATGTGTTCTGAGATAGAAAAATTAACCTTCAACTAAACTAAAAGATGACCGTGCTTACCGTATGTTTTGATAATGCTCTGTCTGGCAATGTTGTCTCTGTCCTTTTTTCTTTATCTGCAGAATCTTTTTTTTTTTTTAATTTCTTTTTTCATGTTTTTCAGTTTTTTTTTTTTCTTCTTTTTTCATGTTTTTCAGTTACCGTAATATAATGTTTAAAAAAATAATTGTTTAATTAAACCAGTTTTCTTTAAGAACCTGTGATGTTTTGTTTCTAAGGTTAAAGCCATAAACATACTTTAGATGGTGGTGATGAATAACATGGCGGGGGAAAAGTGCCTAAAGTGACGTCAGCAGAGGCCTGTTTAAAATGCTTACCTGGAGCATCTTAAGCCTTTGGGTTTCAGTGCAGTTAGTTTGTTGGTAAAAAGAACTCTCATCTTCTCTGCTTAAATGTTAAAAGCTTGTAGTGTCTTTAAGGTTTACCCATATCACTGCAATCATTTTTGTTAAATCAAAACTCACACTGTTTACCTAGCATACATATATATGAGTGTTTACATTCCTAAAAGGTGATTGTTGGAATAAAATGTATGGTTAAATGGTGATTCTTTTTATTTAAGGTAAGATGAGACTTTTTCATCCCACACCAGGGAGAATTTGTTGTTACAGCAGCAGGACAGACACAATAAAACAAGATGCATTCAATCGGTGGCAAAAAGAAAGAAAATTGGGCAGTTGGCTGTAAAACAGCCATGTATATTGTGTCTCCACACTATGACGGAGGCACACTATTTATTATTTCTTTGCTAATATTTAATGCAGTCATGCACAAATGCTTCTATTATCTGTCACTGAAAGCCATTCAGGGAATTTCCTGTGTGGATCAGTATCCCAGTATTTGAAATACGTCATTAAAGCAGGTTAATGTTTAAGCCTTTAAATTAGGCTTCTGCCATGGACCTCTGCACCGACCTGGTCACATGGATGACATTGTCAATACAGTTGCTTCTATTCTGGATCCTCACATGATGAAATCTATTTCTGTCCAGTCACGAGAAAGAAATTACACCACAACCTGCAGCAGTGATCAAACGTAAACCTCCACCTCCCAAAGAAAGACGCTGAGATTTTTTTTTTTTTTTAGAAAAAATAGTTTATGCATCATGCAGTTGCACATCTTTCTGACATCACTCAACAACCTCAAAACAAACTTCATTTACACTGGACAAACAAAAAAAAAGAAAGAAAAGAAATACCCCTTTTCCCATGAAACAAATGTATAATCTTTAAAAGCATGTGTTTATACATGTACAGCAAGACTTTCGTAAAACAATTATTTACACTTAAAACTAAATAATAAATACCAAATGATTATAGCATATATGTTCAAAAAAAGAAAAAAATATATATAGATAAATATATGGTGCCAACTTTGAGAGACAGGTCAGCCTCACCAAGACGCCCAAGAAGCTGAAGGTCAATAAGGTGGATTTATTAGACCCTATAAATCTATGGGCCAGATTTTTTCTGGACAGACACCTTGGGGGATGGACATCAAATTTGGTAACATCAAGCTTGACAACTGCACATTGTCGAGTTTACGAGCTCTTTTTCGCTGCATTATTACTCCAACATTTAAAATTGCTCATATTGCACTCATCACCTGTCATGTATAATTTAACAACAGCGGAACCCCTAGATACGAGGTACGTCCGTTCTACAACAGCACTCGTGTGTCGAGCCGCTCGTATCTAGATTGCATTTTCCCCATTAAAATAACTAAAAACCTAATTAATTAGTTCCAGCCCCCCAGAAATATCCTATTAATTAATTAAATGAACCCTCCCATCTAAACATCAAAAACATACATTTTATATTATTGTTATAAAAATGGGTAAAATAACCCAGCAAGGGACTAAACGTAGGAGAAGGACAATTTTTTTTTTAAGTTCGTGACGAACTCCGCAGCTTGAGTCCTTGAGCACTCGTAACTAGATACTGAAACTGGTATCTAGGGGTTCCACTGTATCGCTCAAGTCCATTATCTAGAAACAATTTCTTTAGAAATGACCTAACAACAGTGTAGCTTAAAAGAAAATACCACACACACACACACAAATTCTACTGAACATTCAGCAAAAAGATGTTAACCTTCAGCACCCATGAAATGTGTTTTAGACACTGTGCTGCAGGGCTGTAACCAACCACCATGGTCGATTAACGATTTCAAATAGATGATTTTAATGTTTGGATTTAGACTTACTCATGTATTACCTAGAGCAGTGGTTCTCAAACTGTGGTACGCGTAGAGCGCTCCCTAGTGGAACGCGGGAAAAAAATTCTTATTTTTACATTTACATTTTCAATTGAATAAATCTGAAACATACCATGTACAATTAATACAACATTTAGAAAAAATGTGTAGCAACTTGTGAGATTCTGAAATAGGATATTTACTTTACTTTACGTTTTTTTGCTGCAATGCAAGTCTGTTGCTCACGTGAGCACAGGCAGCACGGAATCATGGGATCACTTGCAAGTTGAACGTGGAACGGGCCGGGGGAATTCTAATGTTGGTCATCATGGTGGTACGGAGTATAACAAGTTTGAGAACCACTGACCTAGAGTAATTCCTTAGTCATTTAACTTTGTGTCGGTTAAACGACACCAATTGTTTACAAGAAACCGTTAGCCGCAGCACTAGTGTCCAGCTGAACAGTCACAGCTTGTCTGCAGCTGTGTTAACTCACGCTCTAAACCACATTTGCCTTCAAATTCTACTCTATTTTTTTTTTTGTCTGTTCTTACATTATTATCAGTGTATGCTTCGCTGTGTTGAGTTTGTTTAGAGAAGTTGTTTCGTGGCCATCAATGTACAAGGCTTGACCTAAACTGACATCCGTGTCCCAGCACTTCCTGGTTGGTCAGTGACGTGAAGAGAGTTCATGATGCCAGTAAATAAGTAACAGGTAGTTTTCCTAAAATCCGCCGTTCACATGGATCACACATTCTTTCAGCCCAACCCTTGCACACTAAACACACAGGAACTGATCTGAATCTGAATCTGATCTGAAAAGAGTAAAATCAAAGCTTGGATTTAGATTCTACCATGACTGGTGCTGCTGGTGTCATAACATTATCACCAGTCCACAGTCTGAAGTCTGAAGAGAAGAACCAACCAAACTGTTTGATTAATGACAACAAAAATGTGTTATATATTCCAGCTCTAAATAGGAAATTCTATTCTTGGTTTGGCTTGTTTTGACAACCACTAAATGCAGCCAATGTTGGCTGATGACTGATGACACGGTGAAGTGTCACCTTGAGGCAGGGTGCGGGACACAGAATGTATAAAGTGACGTGAACGAGCAGTTCTGGACCTCCAGTACATTCTTTTGTACTGCCGTACGTTTGGCTGGTCCTCATACAGGGTGCGACCCCCTGGACTTTAAGACGTCATTCTGCGCAAACACTGACAGGAACAGTGATCCGGTGACGTGATTGACTGCTGATGTTGACATACGTACGTACGTATGTGCTCAGTGTTGTTCTTATCAGGATCCTAACCTCTGACCTAAGGCTTACAGCAGCTCTGGTTGAGCATTAAAAAAAAAAAGTGACTAAAACGAATGGAGTTTCAAAGTAGAAATCTGCGGCTGGATCCACATCGACAGAGCAAGGATGAGATATGAACTTGGTCTTAGATTGTAGAGAGGCACTCGTTTTGTTTTTAAACTCAAAAAGTCTCTTCTTTCTTTCTTTCTTTCTTTCTTACTTTCTTACACTTCCTCTTCATCCTCTTTGGCATTGGGATCAGGCGTTCACGTTTAGTCCGGTCTGCGGGTGGTGCTACGTGTGGTGAATTTCATGGAACATGAGCTCGCGAGGAATGGGCGTCTCAGCACCGTATACCTTGGAGGCCCGGCGCTCGAAAGCAGACACCATTTGCTTCACCACCTCGTCGAAGAAGACGTGAGCAAGCTGTGAGTGGATCAAGGAACGGAACTCGAAGGATATCTGTGGAGGGAAAACACAAGGAGACGTGAGATGTTTGAAATAGGACACCTGCGACACACCTGGACACTTTTCGGACATGCACACAGATCCGACTAATTTTACATGGTTTGTTCTGAATTTAGAGCATGTTACCGCTGCGGAGCAACAGGAACCAATATCAAGAAAACTCACAAAGATAGAGGTCATGCTGTGAGTTGTTTTGTTTTTTTTATGGCTGTTCTTTTACTTACGGCAAAATCCACAGTGCAGGTACGAGGGTAACCCGGGAGACCAGGGCTGAAGCGCCAAACTGTCTCTAAATGGTTGAACAGTTTCCCATCTGAACAGGAAGCCTAACAAAGAGTGACAGCACAAGAGACGGGATGAGTCTGCATCTTTTTATTTTAGCTGTTATCAGGCAAAGGGATTAACAAAGCAGAAAAGCTTTACAAAAAATTAAAAAAAAAAATACAAAGGCGAAAGTTTAAGAGAAGAATGTCATTCTGAATATTTTTAAAGGTAATATAAATATCCAAACACTATTTTACCCTATGGCTAAAAAATAAATCCACACAGACTGACAACACCACCTTACCTTGACCAGGTGAGGGCGCACTGTAGTGATAAGAGAGGTGTAGTTCTCCACCACAGGAGGAAATCCAACAGCTAGCTTGGCCTTGCAGAAACCAGATCGCTGAAACACCACGTCTGACTTTTTGCACCAGGGAACAAAGAGGCGGTAGTTTTCCACACCGGCCACTACGTCATAAATCTCCTGCATGGAATACCTGCAGAGGAGAGGACACAGCGTGAAGACTACACACTCTGTTTTCTTCTGGTCTGGCGTTTGGGTGGTTAAAGTAAATCCTAGCGGGAATTCGTTCACCAACATAAGCTACAAATGTCCTCGTTTTAACTTGACAGGTGTAAACGTGCAAAGCTGCACGTCAGAGACAGACACATGAAGGTCTAGGGTTATGTCATATCAGTGAATGCTGCTGGCACAGGCCGCGACTCCTGAACCAGATAGGTTTAAAATTAGGTCAATGACGACCAGAGGGAGAATATTAGGAAAAGATGGACAGGAAAAAGAGAGAGTGATTTAATCAGGGTCGTCACATTACCAACTCTGGACTATGAGTAAATCACTAGATGGATGGATGGATGGATAGATAGACAGACAGACTGACAGAGACAGATAGACAGAGACAGACAGACAGACAGACAGATAGATCTTTATTTATCCCTTGCAAGTTCCCTTTGGTTTTTTTTTTAAATTAAACTACAGACAGATAGATCTTTATTTATCCCTGGCGAGTTCCCTTTGGAAAATTAAACGTATTCAAAATCTATCAGAAACAATTTTCATATTTGAAATTGGATTCTTAAACGTATTCAAAATCTATCAGAAACAATTTTCATATTTGAAATCGGATTCTCAAAATAAGGGAAGCAGTGAATTATTCAACCAGTCAGTTTCACTTTGCATAATCTATCGTAAACAAAAGGAGCAAAAGTAGAGTCAGCGAACATGAATGAGAGCCTGTCGTCTACACCACTGTTATATAACTGCAGCAGTCCAGCTATCTGAAATTAGCTGCTGCTGCTGCTGCTGCTGCTGGGGTCTATTTATACAAGCAGACTTGAAGATTAAAACCTCCCTGAGGATCACAGATAGAGTGTGGAAACTAAGAACTCTTTTAGAAAGAATGTAATCTGTGAAAAAACTAAAACTTAAAACCAGCTGTAACTGTTAACAGAATCGCAAAAAATAAGCTGAATAACATTTGAAGCTAACATCCAATAAAACTAATCTTAGGAAACGTCATTACAGATGGTCTGCACGACAGCAAAACAAGTCAGAGTTTACAAAAGTCAAGAATGTTCATAGTTAGGCCAAAACATGACCAAACACATATGATATGTGGGGCACGTTCCTCTCTAAAAACCAAAGATTTGACACTTTGCTTAAGACAATAATCTGATGTTAATGATGGGATACGGCTCACTGTCAATCAATCTCTATTAAAAATAATTCTGTTGCCTCAACTCAAGTCATCAGGTTGCTGCCCCTGTGATTAAGCGATAACGTCAGCGTCAACAGCGTAGGTCGGGGAATCACGGGACGTTACAATGTAGTGCATTTCTCTCATGAGATGCCAAGTGAAGAAAAAAAAGGACAGGTCAGGTGACTAAATGGAGAGCTAATCTAAAAACAAACCACAGGGAGAACATTACATAACAATTGTGACACGCAGGAGAAACCTGACTCCATGTGCAACACGTATGCACGGGGACATAGTTGGGATTTTGCCTCGCCTCGCTGGTTTAAGCAATAAACTTTGATTTTGGTAAAAAGGTACTGCACCGGTTATTATGAGTTCCATTCAAATGACTTGTGTGGGTGTTTTTGTTAAGTGTCCCCGAATGTTGAATGCATTTCTACAGTGTATTAATCACAGGTGTTAGAGAGTTTCTACAACATCCATGTGGAAAACTAAGACGTTTCCCAGGTGCCTGGGGGGCCTTGTCCCTCAATAACCTTTTGTATGTTTGATTAAAACACACCCAACTTTGAAACAGGAAATACCAAAACATAGAACATAATATCTTAGATAATGCACCATAATCTGACCACTATAAAATGGGTTGTTGTGGGCAGATTTATATTATATTTGAAAGCAAATGAATAATTGAAAAAAAAAAGAATTTGCGGAATAAACGTCAATCCCTTATGGCAGTTCTTTTCAACCTTGGGGTTGCGACCCCCGCGTTGGGTCGTCTGAAATTCAAATGGGGTCGCCTCGTAGAAAATATTTTTCAACTAATTATTATTCTTGTTAAAATGATGATTATTCATTTGTCACGACTGTCATTACATGAACAAAGTCCTGACCCCGTTCTTTCTGTTTGACAAACCAAAGCCACATGATGGTCATTCAATTTAAGAATATTGACATTGGGGATTCTGAAGAACCCCAACAGGTGCAAAAGACTAAGCCCAGACCTTGGCATAAAAGAAATGTCAGGTTACACTCACCCTATGATGCGTCTCTCTGAGTACTCCTTCCTCTTGGAGAAGGATTCGGCAAGGTTGAAGAAGCTGCGGGCAGGTAGCGCCGCAGCACACCCTGGCATGGCTGCGCCCAGCATGGGAGGCACTTGTGTCATTAGGATTCCACATGACGACAGATACCTGATCGCATAACAAACATGCACGACAGTGGCAGTGTTAGAAAATAACTGGGTGAAGACACGAGTGGACAGGAAGTGACTGGTTGTGATGGACCTGAGAGCTCAAACTGCGTTTGGACGCTCTCCTGTTATGACACAAAACAGTTGAACTGACTTTAACGCTTTTCATTCCAAGAATATGTTTAAACTCAGGGCAACTTCACTACATGGACATGCTGAACCCTGTTGTTGATTTCCTGTCAGCCTACATTTTTCTCAAAGGAAATGTATAAATTATGAATGTTTGGCCTGAAGGGAGAAAACCACATCATTTCACAATCTGTATTTTCCACTTGCTTTACAAATAATAGTCAATACGTCTTATTGTTTACTTATTGTTCAATCAGTATTGTAGTTCATGTAATCATTAATTGTTGGAATTTTTATGTTTCTCTGTGAGAACGAAAAAAATCATTAAAAGCTCGTTTTAAGAGGTGAGAATTTTAGATCTCTAACGTGGTATAATACGATGTAACCCTTGTATTAAAGAGGAGAAAAAAGCGCTCTGTTTGGAGGAAATACATTTAAAAAAAATAGTTGTTGGTTAATTAACCTATTTGCTTCACCTTTCCTTTATTAAGCTCAGTGCAGTTTCCATTTTCCGCTCAGGGATCATTGGGATTAAATCCAAAGCCCTCGGTCAGATCCTCCGTGGCAGCAATGACAAACGAATGAGTGGGACGACGCTTTCATTCCCTCGTGGATCACTAAACTTCACAATGCAATAACTCAGGACACGCTATCCGTGATAACGTACAGGAGTACAACGGTACAATGGCCTGACTGTAAGGATGTCAAAAGGCTTCGTACAAAGTGTCTGCTGTCACGAAGGCTCAAGATTCTTTTCTGTTGTCAATTTTTAAAAGATGTCAACTGCACTACAAATCCTTTCCTTAGATATTCTACTAGGCCCTGGTTCTTCAATTTAGTTTGTGAGACCTGTAGTGGGAACACAAGTATTGTCTAGTCCTGAGCTACCGTGGAGGAAATAGTGACTAGGTTACTTTTCTTACCTTCTGTCTAGGTATCAAACTTGGAGGCCACATGTGAATCTAATGGCCTATAATGATACTACACAGATTTAGGAATGAAATGCAAACAACTGCACATTAGAAATGAACTGTAATTCATCGCACCATTTCAAACGATAAGCCGGACTGTAATTCATCGCACTGTTTCAAACGATAACCTTTAGAAATGAACTGTAATTCATCGCACCGCTTCAAACGATAAGCCGGAGGATTAGAAGGCTCAGTAATTGCATAGAATTTCTTCATGCAGCATTCAAATGATATGTTCAATAACTTAGACTTGGACCTTCTTTATTGTCATTGCACAGAAACACAAAAAACAGTGAGTCTGGCAACCAAATACCGGAGTACACAGTATACAGTACACAACTTGTAGGCCATGAGTAACTAATTTGAGGTACGGCTATACATACATATATATATATATTTATATATAACTAGTGCAAAACAAAATAGTGCTAAATATAAACTAAAGGTAAATATACATATAAACAGTATGGAAGTGACAAATGTAAACAGGAGTAAATAAATAATAGTGCACGGAGTCTAGACATGAAATTATGAACTGTGAGAAAAGGAATAATCTGCACCAGTGTTCCAAATATTGCACAGAAATTGAACAGGAATATTGCACAGTGAATAAAATTAATATTTAAGTGCTCGTCGCTCGGGAATTTTTTTTTTTTTTAAATGTACTGTATGCATAGAGCGTTGACACTGAACTCCTATTCTAACCTTGTGATCAATGTTGCTTTGAATACTTGCTCCTTCTTTGACCTATACAAAGAAAGCTCATTCACTAGCACCTGAAAGGTGATCCGACTGACACATGGCACTGCCCTAAAACTGGCCAGTCCATGAGAGGGTGTAGCATTACAGCAAGGTTGAGAAATACCCTCACAGAGAGAAGACCAACGCGGGTGTGCACATCTGAACTCTACAGAGTGCACATCCAGCATGAACCTAACATGCATGACCCAGTTTATTGTGTGAACATTTCATTTTAAAAAAAAGAAGGGCGCACTGGCTTATAAAGTACTACAATTTATATGTTCAAAACACAGTGTCGGTGATTTCTTTTTTTTCCTGATAGAAAAATCTGTTACATATTGTAAATGGACCTAAGCAGATATTGTGCAACATTAAACATATGTTAAAACTACTACAGATTGACGTTAAAACCTCTCGATATGAACTAATGTAGATAACTTACTCAACTATTGAACGCATACATCAACTACAGAGTTGAAATGGAGGTTTTGAGTCAGTTCAAAAAAATAACACTTGCATCTTATGGCAACATCTACAGGATGTTGTTTTCAGGGGTAACAATGGAGCAAACGGCAGCAAACATCCTGCAAGGACAGTGTTCATTCTGGACAGTCAAACGCAGACTCGTATAAAGATAAAACTGGCACGTTTTTTACACTCCCAATCATAATGTTGAGAGTGTCTGGTTACCTTAATACCCTACCTGTTTTCAGACTTTTGGAGGAAACTAGAGAATCACTAGCACACACACAGTAAATGCTTCAGGCTGCATAAAAAAAGACCATCAATTACAGCACTGGCTAGATTTAGTGACATATGATAAATATATGATAAAAGCCAAACTGTGCTCTACAGGTGTATGGTGTTACAATTGTGTTGTCCACTTTCATTCGGTAATTGTCCAATTGCTATCACAAAAACACTTTCTTGTTCAAAAGTTTAACGAGTCAGCGAGTTCACAATACCAGTTTTCACCAGTTGTGCCTTTTACAAAAAATAGGATTTTACTAGTTTACTGTGACTTGCGACTGTACCTAAACTTCAACTTCCAAAAACTGGCAATAACGTTTTTATAAGCTTAATTTGACACTTAATCTTAGTAAACAGGGATGCATCTGGCTAATATTATAAACACAACGATGTCGTGCAATATCCAATTCCTATTGTTCAGAGACAGTAGAAGTCTGGAAAGTGTCTTTACTTTCACTTTGCTATATTTACTTTAATCAACAAAGTAGCGTAAAATATAAAACAATGAATACATAAATAATTACAGCAAAACCATTGTACCTGACTTTACTTCTGCTCAGGAGTTCCCGGTTGGTTGTGGAGGGGAGCTGTTTAAAACAATCGGTGACTTTTCTCAATCCCCTGCCGCATCTCGCCATCTTTTTCTCGTCTGACGTCTCTCTCTCTTCTCCTGACAGACACCTCTCCACCACCGACTCCGCCCTGACCCGTGACGCAACGCCTCTCCCTTATGTCAGTCTGCTATTGGTGGACGTGTTCCCTGTGGGCGTCTATGATTGGTCAGTGTCGATGTTTGTCGAAAAGCTGCATTGACTCCAGTGCCAAGCGCGTACATGGAACGAGTACGCGCAGGAATGTCACGAGACGAACTTGGCTCAGGTTTCCAGTGGGAGCCTCTAACTTTTTTATTTTTTTTTTGTTTAACACGCACGAACATGTACTTGTACAGACTGTGGTCTAGCCTGGCTTTAATGGGTTGGTTTGATGACAAACAGACGCTTTTTTATGTGGGCAGAGACTTATGTAATGGAATGTTTAGCCAATGCGTCAACATTAAATAAGTTAAATAAGTACTTAATTGTACGTTTGTGAACATATTTATAATTACCTATCAATCTATATGCTGTAACTTCTCAACTAAAAACAATTGACTTATTCAGAAAGACAAGTGGCATAATCAATAGGATTATGAAATTATTATATATATACAGTATATATTAGTAGTAGTAGAAGAACCAGTAAGGGAAGTATCTTTAGTTGCCTCAAAACATTAAATTAACATTTTGAGTTCTAAAAATAGCTGTTGTGCTGTTGCTTCTCCTCTATGTGGCTATACAGAGGATGTATTGTAATGGGATTTAATTTTTCAATTCAGTTATTAAAGGCTGGACAAACAACAATAAATTAAGAAACACTTTTGAAAAGATCAAAGACAGGAGAAATTCCACCAGTTGGCATAAAAACATAAAAGAACGTCACAACACAAATTTCTTCATCCTTTTGTACTCCACTCTTGTCGTAGGTATCGTAACATATCAACAAGGAATAAAAATGTCAATAAGGAAAAGGCATCTGGTATTTTTTATTAAGTTGCCAGATGGCACAAAACTGTAGCAAATCAAGACAATGCATTATTTTTTCTATAACATCTGCAACATTGTTTGTAGTAAAATAATAATAAAATTATTATTATTATTATCATTGTTATTATTATTGTTATCATTATTTTTTCATATGTTTTGCTTACAGAAAAGTAGATCGTTCAAATTTGATCCAGCGGCTACAAAAAAGACGGAAGTATAGTTCACGCACTTCCGCCTTCAGACTCCATCACCGATCACCAAAATGGCGAAGGCAGCCAAGACCCACGAAGGTAAATCTTTTCCAAATATGTATTAGCCGTTTCATTTAAATATCGCCTTTTATTAAAGAACGAATTCAAGTGCATCGTGTGAACATTATAATATGAGGTTTTTCGAAAACGTGTATAGAAATGATAGTTTTCGAGGGCGACATGTACCAGGCCTCTCATACGACACAACGCGGACAGAAGATAATGGCGCTGGTTGCTAACATGTTAACTTGTTAGCTTTATGGAGCTCTCTTGCAATCTCTACAACAACGCACTGTGAATCTTCCTTTTGTTGAAATGTGTGTTTCAATTCACCAACGCAAATGAACAATTAATATTTGGTATAGAAACATGAAAAAATGGTTAACTTTAAGTTATTTTTACTTTCGGTATTGTTAACACACCACGACTAAGCTATTATTGATTTGACTGAGAACTTAGCTTGCAGTTCGTTATTTATTTATTTTAATTAGTTTTTTTTATTTATCTTGGTGACTCCTAATACTTAGTTATCGAAGTTTTTCATTTTATTTTCGTTCGTTCATGTCCTACTGAATGAGACGTATTATTCGCATCATCACAAAGCGCCAACTGCTCATAATTGGAAACTGAGCACAACAGTTTTCTTTCGCACTTACCAAACTGTATTTTAACATAAATATTCGCTATTATACAAAAAATATTTTTGAAATCTGCAAAAGATCTCCTTTAGGAAATCTCTCCTTATTCCATTAATGGTCCTTTATAGATATTAGTAGTGTCAAGTTGACAAACCCATTTATGTCTTTATTTATGTTTTTTTAAAACATTATTTTACTGCACAAATTAACTAGTTGCCTTGTTATTGGTGCCTTCCCTTTAGATATTGAGGCGCAGATCCTGGAAATCCAGGGGATGAAGGCCAATCTCCAGCAGGAAGGAGAGAAGGGGGTGGGCCTTGTTTCCACTGGTTTTTTTGACCAGGAGATCTATGGAGGAAGTGACAGTCGCTTTGCTGGATATGTCACATCCATTGCTGCAAATGAACAGGAAGAGGTAAGTTTTGTTTTTGTTTATTTATTTACCCACACTCAGTGCCATTTAAATGGTGCCTTTTTTAACCTATGAATTATGTTTGTAATTTGTAATCTGGAGTATTAGTTGCATAGGAGCTGGGAGGTTTTTGTAATTTTGGCAAGACTTGACTTACATCCTATTTATCTCTCTTTCTGCAGGATGATGAAGACGATACATCAACAAGCTTGTTGGGACCAAAGAAGCCGGGATACCATGCGCCTGTGGCAATACTCAACGCCATTCCTCAGTCAGATGAGACTGTATGTATCTTGTCCAGTTGTTATTTTTTTGCGGTCATTTTACAATTGATAAATAATCAAATGTTCCAAATTTTTGGTTTTTCGCAGTATGACCCATTTGCAGAGCATCGTCCACAGAAGATTGCCGATCGGGAGGACGAGTACAAAGCCCGGCGCATGCAGATGATCATCTCACCTGAGCGTCTGGATCCCTTTGTAGATGGTAAAATTTAAATGTATTTTTTTTTACATTATATTTTTATCATGTCTCACCTTTTCATGGATCACCTTTTTGTATAACCCCCTCATGATTATCAGTGCCTTTGTTATTTCAACCCTTCGACTACAATGCAATAGCTTGCTTCCCAGACTCCATGCCTTTCCTGTGGTCAATCCTGTGTGGTCCAAGAGTTTTCTTTTTTGCTTCTGTTGCTTTTCCTTCTTACATGATCTTCCAACTATCTTTTTAGTGGCATTAAATGTATGTCATGACATGCAATCTGAAAAAATTGTTTGGAGCCTGGGGTGCAAAAGTTGAGTTTTATTTTGGTATGTGTTTGAACATAATCTGACCCACTTTATGGTTGTCATGTTTTCTTTGGGAAAGGTAGTTAGGTCCTCACTGTTTAAAAGGAGCCTTTTTGCCTAACAAACGTGGGTTGCACATAGGTTGTGTGTGAGTCGAAGGGTTGTTGGTGTCAGTCTACATAATATTGGGATGTGTGTAATTTTCTTGATGAGAGTTAGAAAGTGGGAGGGTTAGCTAACTAACCATGGGTGCCAGATACTTACAGGGGACAGGAATAATCAAGTAATTAATATAGTGAGAGAAAAAAATATATATTTTTTTTTTGTCCTGCCATCCTCAGATTTGTCTGGCCCCAAAGGTAAAAGGCTTGTAATAGTTAACACTCAGTTGGCATTTTAGCTGTAATGAATCCCTTAGGTCCTTAAGGACACTGGAAAAACAAGCCAAATGTAGGCCGGCAACCACAACCACCTTATTCCTACACTTTATTTCTATCCAGTTTTGCTTAAAAAGTTCTTTTTACTCCATTTAAATTTGGGTAACCAGTTTAGGTTTTTTTTTAGTCACATAGTTTGTAGGTTTTAATCCCCTGACAGTCTGAGCCGTATTGGCCTGAATGGATTCGGGTTGGGTCTAGCTGTCTAAAGCCTGCATGTAGAGAGAGCTCTTGTTACAACGTTGTATGTTGCAAATATATTTTTATTTTACAACTCTCTCTGTAAAATAGAAATATGTTATCAAGAAAACAAAATGTGTACCACAATACCACAGGCCCATACTAACTGTCCTTAATTTCTCTCCTACAGCAGTACTGCTTTGCCAGTCCTGTACTGCACTCTGTTAAGGGTGCAGCAACTCATCCTGTGTAGGTTATGGGAAACACAGAGCTGTGAACTTGTCAGTTTGGTCAGGGTCTACTGGCTGCTTGTTTGGGGAAGTCAGATGCAGCCCAGCTACAGCAAACATCAGTCTCCTCAGAGCCCCACGTTTTTCTGTTTGGCTTCTTTCAAAACACAAATTCAATATTTGACATTTATGCAATGCCTTTTTGATTGAAAATTATTGGCCAAATTTAAGACCAAATTATTTTTTTACTGAGCTGCTTTCCAAACTTAAATTATCCATTTTTGCATCAGAATGACGAAGTAAATATTTAAGTTTCTGAATGTACTGAAGTGAAGCAGTTTATAGCTGTAGCCTAGCATCTGTTAGTAAAATGTGGACCACAAATATTTTTAAATGAGGAGCATCACACAACGAAGTTGCTGTTTTTTAAAGTCTGTGATTATTTTTGAGTTCTTTAATTTTATGCAACACAGGTGGTATTCTTTTATGTGTGCGTTTAAACCATTTTCCAAAGTGTTACTAATGGTAAAAAGCAATTTTCTAGGCTGCTTTTCTGCCGGTTGAAGTCTGACTGCAGAAGGACCCTTGGCACTGAAAGTGTACGTATTCTGAAGAGCACAGCCCAGGACCCCTGCATCAGTGATGGCTAGATCATCTTAATCCACTTACAAAAACAACCGCAGCTCTTCTCTTTATGTATCTGCTTGTTTTCTTCCATTAGAATGCTATGATTGTATTTAAAGCTGTACTTTAATTTAATTTAGTAGAACTTTGAGAACCAGTTCTATGTGAAACAATAACAGAAATATTAGTTAATCTGTTAAAAAGACTCAGGGTTAGCTGGCTGTGTTTGTGCTTGCTGTCTTTGTGGAAACTCGTGTCCCTGGAATGTAACATGATGAGTTTTCCTTTGTTCTTGTTGGTGCTTTTTCGCGCAGGGGGCAAAACACCGGACCCAAAGATGAAAGTCAGGTCATATGTGGACATCATGTTGGAACAGAATCTGTCCAAAGAAGAGGTTAGTGGCCTTTTTTTATTCGGTGTAATTCATTAATGATGTTTATGATCTGTTTATTGCATCATTGTGTCAACCATCAGCCTTATAAAGTTTGTGCCTTTGTGTTTTCACAGAGGGAGATTCGGATGCAGCTGGCGGAGAAGGCCAAGGCAGGGGAATTGAAAGTTGTAAACGGGTCTGCAGCCAGCCAGGCAGCCACGAAACGCAAGCGCCGCTGGGACCAGACAGCTGATCAAACACCCTCTAATGCTACACCCAAAAAGATGTCCAGTTGGGACCAGGCCGATGCCAATGTTGAGGTGATTTACTCACATTTCTAGCCCGTACTTTGTCTGAGATTGTGAATATGCAGATAATAATTTAAAAGTTAACATCTTGTTTGGTCAGCTGACCTTTTTGGTTGGACATGAAATATTCTAAGTGTCTTAAAATGGAGGGTTAGCTAACTAACCATGGGTGCCAGATACTTACAGGGGACAGGAATAATCAAGTAATTAATATAGTGAGAGAAAAAAATATATATTTTTTTTTTGTCCTGCCATCCTCAGATTTGTCTGGCCCCAAAGGTAAAAGGCTTGTAATAGTTAACACTCAGTTGGCATTTTAGCTGTAATGAATCCCTTAGGTCCTTAAGGACACTGAAAAACAAGCCAAATGTAGGCCGGCAACCACAACCACCTTATTCCTACACTTTATTTCTATCCAGTTTTGCTTAAAAAGTTCTTTTTACTCCATTTAAATTTGGGTAACCAGTTTAGGTTTTTTTTTAGTCACATAGTTTGTAGGTTTTAATCCCCTGACAGTCTGAGCCGTATTGGCCTGAATGGATTCGGGTTGGGTCTAGCTGTCTAAAGCCTGCATGTAGAGAGAGCTCTTGTTACAACGTTGTATGTTGCAAATATATTTTTATTTTACAACTCTCTCTGTAAAATAGAAATATGTTATCAAGAAAACAAAATGTGTACCACAATACCACAGGCCCATACTAACTGTCCTTAATTTCTCTCCTACAGCAGTACTGCTTTGCCAGTCCTGTACTGCACTCTGTTAAGGGTGCAGCAACTCATCCTGTGTAGGTTATGGGAAACACAGAGCTGTGAACTTGTCAGTTTGGTCAGGGTCTACTGGCTGCTTGTTTGGGGAAGTCAGATGCAGCCCAGCTACAGCAAACATCAGTCTCCTCAGAGCCCCACGTTTTTCTGTTTGGCTTCTTTCAAAACACAAATTCAATATTTGACATTTATGCAATGCCTTTTTGATTGAAAATTATTGGCCAAATTTAAGACCAAATTATTTTTTTACTGAGCTGCTTTCCAAACTTAAATTATCCATTTTTGCATCAGAATGACGAAGTAAATATTTAAGTTTCTGAATGTACTGAAGTGAAGCAGTTTATAGCTGTAGCCTAGCATCTGTTAGTAAAATGTGGACCACAAATATTTTTAAATGAGGAGCATCACACAACGAAGTTGCTGTTTTTTAAAGTCTGTGATTATTTTTGAGTTCTTTAATTTTATGCAACACAGGTGGTATTCTTTTATGTGTGCGTTTAAACCATTTTCCAAAGTGTTACTAATGGTAAAAAGCAATTTTCTAGGCTGCTTTTCTGCCGGTTGAAGTCTGACTGCAGAAGGACCCTTGGCACTGAAAGTGTACGTATTCTGAAGAGCACAGCCCAGGACCCCTGCATCAGTGATGGCTAGATCATCTTAATCCACTTACAAAAACAACCGCAGCTCTTCTCTTTATGTATCTGCTTGTTTTCTTCCATTAGAATGCTATGATTGTATTTAAAGCTGTACTTTAATTTAATTTAGTAGAACTTTGAGAACCAGTTCTATGTGAAACAATAACAGAAATATTAGTTAATCTGTTAAAAAGACTCAGGGTTAGCTGGCTGTGTTTGTGCTTGCTGTCTTTGTGGAAACTCGTGTCCCTGGAATGTAACATGATGAGTTTTCCTTTGTTCTTGTTGGTGCTTTTTCGCGCAGGGGGCAAAACACCGGACCCAAAGATGAAAGTCAGGTCATATGTGGACATCATGTTGGAACAGAATCTGTCCAAAGAAGAGGTTAGTGGCCTTTTTTTATTCGGTGTAATTCATTAATGATGTTTATGATCTGTTTATTGCATCATTGTGTCAACCATCAGCCTTATAAAGTTTGTGCCTTTGTGTTTTCACAGAGGGAGATTCGGATGCAGCTGGCGGAGAAGGCCAAGGCAGGGGAATTGAAAGTTGTAAACGGGTCTGCAGCCAGCCAGGCAGCCACGAAACGCAAGCGCCGCTGGGACCAGACAGCTGATCAAACACCCTCTAATGCTACACCCAAAAAGATGTCCAGTTGGGACCAGGCCGATGCCAATGTTGAGGTGATTTACTCACATTTCTAGCCCGTACTTTGTCTGAGATTGTGAATATGCAGATAATAATTTAAAAGTTAACATCTTGTTTGGTCAGCTGACCTTTTTGGTTGGACATGAAATATTCTAAGTGTCTTAAAATCTTGTTATGGCTGTCCTGTCTTTTGAAATTGATTGCCTTTTGGCTTCTTGTTATGGCTGTCCTGTCTTTTGAATTTGATTGCCTTTCGGCTGTTCCTTTCAGTAGTCCCCACAGATCATCTTCCTCCTACTTATCATTAAGTGACCTATTTTTCAGACTCCTGGGCACACCCCTGCACACACACCATCAAACAGTCGCTGGGATGAAACCCCTGGTCGTCCCAAGGGCAGCGAGACCCCAGGAGCCACTCCCAGCACCCGCATGTGGGACCCCACGCCCAGCCACACACCTGCCGGTGCCGCGACTCCTGGCAGAGACACTCCTGGCCATGCTACGCCAGGCCACGGTGGAGCCACAGGGAGCGTACGCAAAAACCGTTGGGATGAAACCCCAAAGACAGAAAGAGAGACTCCAGGACACGGCAGTGGCTGGGCTGAAACCCCACGTACAGACAGAGGAGACGAATCCGTGGGTGAGACGCCGACCCCGGGAGCTTCCAAGAGGAAGTCTCGCTGGGATGAAACGCCTGCCAGTCAAATGGGATCGTCAACGCCTCTGCTCACACCAGGAAAGACACCAATTGGAACACCAGCAATGAACATGGCCACCCCAACACCAGGTTTGTCATTTTGATGTGCTCATCGTGTATGCAACTATGTTTCCCATAGCATCATTTGTTGTCATTGTATTCAGTAATAGTGTAATTCTATTTTCAGAAACCAAAATCTGTTAGCACAATGGTTCATTGACACCTGAAATATCTGAAATAACATAACTGAATGTTTATTTATTGGTCTTATTTATTTTTTGTGTAGGACACCTGATGAGCATGACTCCAGAGCAGTTGCAAGCTTGGAGGTGGGAGCGGGAAATTGATGAAAGAAACCGTCCACTTACAGATGACGAGCTTGATGCCATGTTTCCAGAAGGATACAAGGTTTTGTTTTGTTTTTTTTTTTTTTTGTTTTTGGAGCTACTTATTTTTATGTTAAACTATAAAACATGTTTAACATTCACCTTTAAAGCTAAGGTGATGCTGACAGTTTTTCTCCTTTTCTGCTCCTCAGGTCTTGCCTCCACCTGCAGGTTACGTTCCAATTCGTACACCTGCCCGTAAACTTTCGGCCACACCGACACCCATTGGAGGGATGACAGGTTTCCACATGCAGGTTGAAGATCGCACCACGAAACAGATGAATGACCAACCATCCGGAAATCTCCCTTTCCTCAAACCAGACGACATCCAGTATTTCGACAAACTACTGGTGAGCATCGAGCATGAAACCACATAAAACCAGTGTTTGGGATGTCGTTTCTGACTGACGATTAAAGTGTCTTACGAGTATTTGTGTATATTTCAGGTGGAAGTGGATGAGTCCACTTTGAGCCCAGAGGAACAGAAGGAAAGAAAGATTATGAAGCTGCTGCTAAAAATTAAAAATGGAACACCACCCATGAGGAAGGTTGGTCAATGTTGACAACTTTTGCAACATAATTAAAACCTATTAATTTTGCTGGTAACATTACTCTTCCCCACACTGATGATCCTCTCTTCTCTTTCCAGGCTGCACTGCGTCAGATCACGGATAAAGCCCGTGAATTTGGAGCCGGTCCCCTGTTCAACCAGATTCTGCCACTTCTGATGTCGCCTACCCTAGAGGATCAGGAGCGTCACTTGCTGGTCAAAGTTATTGATCGAATTCTTTATAAACTGGATGACTTGGTTCGACCATATGTGCACAAGGTATGGGCCCTAACAATAATATGTATTACGACATTTTAATTTACTGTCTGAAAAATTAAATGCTCTTTTTTTGTCTCCAGATTCTGGTGGTGATTGAGCCACTGCTGATTGATGAAGATTACTATGCCCGAGTGGAAGGTCGAGAAATTATATCCAACTTGGCAAAGGTATTTTTTCTTTTTTTATTGTTCTCCACATTTTAGGCTCTGCGAACATTTCTCGCCTGTATGACCTGCTTTTGTGGTCAAGTCAGGGCTAGTAGTTCGCTAAATTAACACCAGCACGAGATCTAGCAGACCTGACAATGACATTTGGTCTGTTCTCACCCTGCACCCGTTGGTTACAATAAGTTTGATTATGGGCAGATATGCATTATCAGATATCAGCAACTTTTTTTTATTTTTAAACAATTTTCATTTGAACGACCAATCCAAAGACTGCTAATTATTCATCAAATCAAATGTATTAATCCGTCTTTCTCTTGTCCTCTCCAGGCAGCCGGGTTGGCCACAATGATCTCCACTATGCGACCTGATATCGACAACATGGATGAGTACGTAAGAAACACCACAGCCAGAGCCTTTGCCGTCGTGGCCTCTGCCCTGGGTATTCCTTCACTGCTGCCCTTCCTCAAGGCTGTGTGTAAAAGCAAAAAGTCCTGGCAAGCTAGACACACGGGCATCAAGATTGTGCAGCAGATCGCCATCCTCATGGGCTGTGCCATTCTGCCCCATCTTCGTAGCTTGGTGGAGATTATTGAACATGGTAAGTGCTGTTCATAATCTCATTGTACACGCATAATACACATTTACAGACATGTAAATGCAGTTCAATCAACTGAAAACTGAACTGCTGCCAGGCATTAGGAATAACATGGCCAACGTTCGGTTTTGTCATCAGGTCTGGTAGATGAGCAGCAGAAGGTGAGGACCATCAGTGCCCTGGCCATAGCTGCTCTTGCTGAAGCTGCTACACCCTATGGTATTGAGTCCTTTGACTCCGTCCTTAAGCCGCTCTGGAAGGGTATCAGGCAGCACAGAGGAAAGGTAAGAAGTCAAATTGTAACTTTAATAAATTTAAAACATTTTCTAAAAAAAAAAAAATGCAACGTTGTCACTCAGCACTCAGTCTGTGTGTAGCTCCGGAGTGAATATTTGCTTGCTATAGTGACTCCTCTGAGGTGCTGCTGCTTAGTTAGTTTGAAAGCATCCACCTTCTGTTGCTCATCTATACATTGATTTCTTTGTCACCAGGGTTTGGCGGCTTTTCTCAAAGCTATTGGTTACTTGATTCCACTGATGGATGCCGAGTATGCCAACTACTACACCAGAGAGGTGATGTTGATCCTTATCAGAGAGTTCCAGTCACCCGATGAAGAGATGAAGAAGATTGTGCTTAAGGTAAGAGTGTAGATGAAGAGTCGTCTTTGAGTTTGAGCAACTTTTCTCGTCTGGTCAACCACTCCATGGCTGCATCAGAGCTAGTACGTTGCTATATTATTGCCAGCATGAGAATCAGCAGAGAAGACATTTTAATAATTTTCTCTGTTCTCACCCTGCACCTGTTGGCTACATATAAAACCTCCAGATTTTAAAGACCCAGCATTTTCCTCTTAGATAACTGATACTTTTAAAGACCCAGCATTTTCCTCTTAGGAAAATGCATTCATGCTATTAGTTCTGGTTTACAACAAAATAATTTAGGTCCTGTTTAAGAATTCCACAAAATCCTGTATTAACAATCTCAGTCAACACTTTAGATTAGTATTGAAAAATGTTACTGCACATTTCTGGTACGAAACGTCAGAGGCTTAAATTAGTGAACCAGCTATTTTTATGACTTCTTGCTGAACACCTGTAGTAACTTTCTTCCTTTTTTTTTTGACAGGTGGTGAAGCAGTGTTGTGGTACAGATGGTGTTGAGGCAAACTACATAAAGACTGAAATCCTGCCGCCGTTCTTCAAACACTTCTGGCAGCACAGAATGGCTCTGGATAGGCGTAACTACAGACAGGTATGGGTTATGTTATTTCAAAGAATTCTATTGTGTGTGCAATTTGTATACTGTTGAAATCTTAGCTTATGCTATTATCTCTGGAGTTTGAATTCTCTCATGTCCTCTGACAGTTGGTGGACACCACCGTGGAGTTGGCTAACAAAGTGGGAGCCGCCGAGATCATTTCTCGCATCGTTGATGACCTGAAAGACGAGGCTGAGCAGTACAGAAAGATGGTGATGGAGACCATTGAGAAAATTATGGGTAATCTGGGCGCCGCTGACATCGACCACAAGCTGGAGGAACAGCTGATCGACGGTATTCTGTATGCGTTCCAGGAGCAGACGACAGAGGTGAGAGACATCACTTTAATCTTTGTTCAAAAAGTACAAAATGTGAAATTGTACACGCATTCAGTGACACACATTGTTTTTATAAATCCTTTTCATTCAGGACTCTGTGATGCTGAACGGTTTTGGAACAGTGGTCAATGCCCTCGGAAAGCGCGTGAAACCGTACCTCCCGCAGATCTGTGGTACGGTGCTGTGGCGTCTGAATAACAAGTCCGCAAAGGTCCGACAGCAGGCTGCTGACCTCATCTCCCGCACTGCTGTCGTCATGAAGACTTGTCAGGAGGTACGCTGATTAGACGTTAGAAACACTTAGAAACCAGAGATTAATTTTGTTTTTAGAAAACATGGCTCTGTATCAAGAACAATTTCATGCTCTTCTCAAACCATAGACGAGAAATGTAAATATCCTCTAGAGGGTTTTTTTTAAATTATTGGTGATCAGACTTGCTTCTTTTCTGGAATTAAACGCCTCTTTCTCTGCAGGAGAAGCTGATGGGTCACTTGGGTGTGGTGCTATACGAGTACCTGGGAGAAGAGTATCCTGAAGTGCTGGGAAGTATCCTAGGAGCTCTGAAGGCCATTGTCAATGTCATTGGTACGTCACTGCATCACGTTACTTTAACCAACAGGGATTGAAGTACTTGCGAATGACGGACTTTATTTTTCTTTTATAACAGGTATGCACAAGATGACTCCTCCAATCAAAGACCTGCTTCCTCGTCTCACGCCCATCCTGAAGAACAGACATGAGAAGGTACAGGAGAATTGTATCGACCTGGTGGGAAGAATTGCTGACAGGTTAGTGAAATCAGAACTTACCCCCTACGTATCTCTACATTTAATCCACTTTTCTTTCTTTTTTTCTGTAATTTGTCCGGTTTTTAAACTGTTTGAAATGATTCCTGTTTCAGGGGAGCTGAGTACGTGTCCGCCAGGGAGTGGATGAGGATTTGCTTCGAGCTGCTCGAGTTGCTGAAAGCTCACAAGAAGGCAATCCGCAGAGCCACGGTCAACACGTTTGGCTACATCGCCAAAGCCATCGGGTGAGTTCAAGTGAACTGATTATTGTTCGGTTTACCAGAAAAGTCCTGTAAATTTTGTTTTTCATTCTCCAGGTCAATAATTCATTGAGATGACTTGAGTATGATCAGAGGCGTTAACCTCCCTCTAACTTAATCCCGATCTCTCCTTTCAGTCCCCACGATGTCTTGGCTACTCTTCTCAACAATCTTAAAGTACAAGAGCGTCAGAACAGAGTCTGTACAACTGTGGCAATTGCCATTGTTGCCGAGACCTGTTCACCCTTCACAGTGCTGCCGGCACTTATGAATGAGTATCGAGTCCCAGAGCTTAACGTCCAAAACGGTGTGCTGAAATCCCTGTCCTTCCTGTTTGAGTACATTGGAGAGATGGGCAAAGACTACATCTACGCTGTCACACCGCTGTTGGAGGACGCGCTCATGGACAGGTGAGTTAGAAACTTCCACCTGTTGTGTTTCTATGTATTTTTTTTTTAATTAACTTCTTGGTATGGGTAGTTACCACCTGTTGTGTTTCTATGTATTTTTTATTATTATTTTTTTAATTAACTTCTTGGTATTGGTAGTTGTTGGCTTCTAGCGGGTGTCATCAAGTGTTGATTGTGTCCCTGTTTCGCAGAGATCTGGTCCACAGACAGACTGCCAGCGCTGTGGTGCAGCACATGTCTCTCGGCGTCTACGGCTTCGGCTGTGAAGACTCTCTGAACCACCTGCTCAACTATGTGTGGCCCAACGTGTTTGAGACATCGCCTCATGTAATCCAGGCTGTTATGGGAGCATTGGAGGGACTGAGGGTCGCCATTGGACCCTGCCGCATGTTGCAGTACTGCTTACAGGTGAGAACTGTCCTCAGATACTGTGTCAGTATTACATTGTGTCTAAAGCTTTTGTCTGATGTGGTCTGTACATATGACCTGCACGCATTCAGTGACTTTTGTCTTTTTTTTTTTTTTTTTCTCCCCCATTTCAAGTTTCTAATTGCATCTATTTATATTCCAGGGTTTGTTCCATCCAGCCCGAAAGGTTCGAGATGTCTACTGGAAAATCTACAACTCCATCTACATCGGGTCACAAGACGCTCTCATTGCTCACTACCCACAGGTCTACAATGATGATAAAAACATTTATGTTCGTTATGAGCTTGAATATGTCTTGTAAATACAAACCTATGCTTTCTTTCCCCGGTCATGTCAGTTACTTTTTTTTTTTTCAAGCAAATGATTGATCTTTATCAATTGCTTAAATTAAAAACTCCATTCTGAGGCCACCTAGGGATCATTTTAAAAAAAAAAGAGTGAAAAATAGGGAGTTAAGGGGAATAAAAAAGAAAACATTGTAGAGTCTGTAAGTATTTTCTTTTTCTTTTTTTTTTAATGTTTCTTTAAGAAATTAAGTCATGCTCAGATGAGCCCTAGTTAAGTAATGCAACGCTGTCATGAAAATGTTTTAATTACTTAGGATTTTATGTGTGTTGGTGTTTTTTGCCAGTTGTCTGTATCATCTTTACAGAGACACACACATCCATACACACACACACACACCCTCCCTCCTATCCATGTTTTCAGACTTTTTTGCTTTATTTAATCAAAATAAAATGTTTGTGTATAAAAGTCACTTAAGTGTCAGGTCTGTTCTTACAACATTGCATTACTGGGGTTAAAGAAAATGAATGAAGAAGCCTAAAGGTTTGGTCAGCGTTTAATGGGAACTGAAGATATTTTTACCAGGGACATTTTGATGAACTTAATTTAATTTTACTAATTTAAAGTGTCCTGCACTTCACCACAGTCTGTCAGTGTGTTTCAATGACAGTACCAGCCATGGCATGAAGCTGTTTTAGATTCCTTTTACATCAAGTGAGTTGTAGCTGTGTGTAAATTATTGCAATTTGACAGATCAACTAGATCAGGCATGGGCAAACTAAGGCCCGGGGGCTATATGTGGCCCATCTAGCTTTTTAATCCGGCTGCCAAACTTTTCAAAAACCTAATTTATTTATATTATCATTATACTTGTCTTTTTCCTGCAATACCCACATTTCCCCAATACATGGTGTACAAAATGCTTAAACCTTTATGCATAACTTTTACATGTCATTTATCTTGGTTCACACGAACTGACCCCCCTCCCCCCTGTTCAATTTTAGGACAGTTGTGGCCTGCGAGTCAAAAAGTTAACCCACGCCTGAACTAGATCTACATCACAATGCAAATCTGCAGACGAACAAAAAAGTGCAAGGCTGCACAATATGATTTTAATGTGGTTTAACGATCTCTCTGAAAGACCAGACCAGACATCAACAGTCTGTCCCTCAGATTATTGAAATTCTTCCTCCATTTGGTTTAAAATGTGCTGCCATGAGTACATTATGTTTAAGAGAAATCTTATTGCCAAAGTATAAGGAGTCAGGGTAACAAAATTAGACCACTCTGAAACACACACTCGTGCAGGAATCCTCCCCCACTCTCCCCTTGTTTCAGCAGACACATGACCCAGATTCTCTCTGCAAATTCAGTCATGTCATGGACAGACAGCAGTAGCCAGTAATAACAGCCAACCGGATTGGGTCCGGTCTACGAAAGCGCCGAACGACCCGACGCCTCATTGAATGGACGTCCCAACTGACCTCCATAACACAGTCTATAAAAAGCGTAATTCAATCACAGCTTTTCATAAGTCTACAGAAATACATACACTTTCCACACGCTGGCCCTCCTGTCGGTGTGTACATGTTTCCAGCAGAGGGCAGCAATACCACGAAGCAGCAGCAGCACTAGTAGAAGGAGGAGGCCTCAGGCTACTAATGCTGCCGCTTCTTGTTGTTGATGCTGAGGAAGCTTCTCCTCGACTTCTGCATCTGAAAGGAAGGAGGAGAGAGCACTAGCGACTTCCTGTCACAGCCGTACGCCGCCGCCTGCTGCCTCTCGCTGAGGCTTCTGGCTTCACGTACCGGGGAAGAATAAGCCTCTGTGGCGGGTGCATGAATTTAAAATGAAACTCCAGGAACCAGCTCCAGTATCTGAGGTAGCAGCAGCAATAGCAGCAGCAGCAGCTTTCATACATGCAGACTGTTCCCAGCAGAGGCTTTAGCTTCTGTTCTCGCTGCCTCTCTGCGGCCAGGAGCGACAGCCGAGGCTCGGAAGCACCACCGCTCTTGCCGCCGCAAACGGAGCGGTTGCTGATGGCCCTAAGGTTCGGCCTGGCCCGTACCAGTAAGACTCTCAACATTATCGGAGAATACTACCAGTAGCAGTCCGTGTGTTGGCTAGGAGGCTAACGGTAGCTGCGAGCACCAGAGAGGATAACAGCACCGACAGTCGGAGCGGGAGGCCGGAGGAAGCCCAGCATCGTCCCGTGTATGGTGCTGTATGTTCGGTGGGAGTGGATGAGCAGCGAACGGAGCAGAAGCTGACCCAGAGAACATGGCTGTCCTCAAACTGTCCGAGCAGGTACCAAAACAAGGCCTCTCACTGATATTTATTATTTATTAATTAATTAATGAATTAATTATTTAATTAATTAATGGGTTTTGGGTTTTAAAGTTAATATTTCATAAAAGCTAGCTTAGCCGCTGAAGGCTTTTTCGTTTACTTTATTGAACTATAAATGAAGCAGGAAGTGTAACTTCACCATGGATGGTATGAGTAGGTTATTACACGTAATTTGAAAATGACAGCTACACTATTAGTCAGCAGTGAATCTGCAGTAAACACACAGGAAACCGTCTTGGCTGGCGTCAAAAGTTAAAAAAGTTTGTTTGAAAAAAGGTTTTTTCGGATTAACAAGATTAATAAAGTCAGTTATAATAATCCCGACGATTTAATTATTTATCTATCTATCTATCTAAACATTCAGAGGAAAAAGCAACTTCATTATGTGGTGGTAGACATGGATACAAACTGTAAATGACATCATAATGACATCATCATTTTTACTGACAAATGTCTTTAATATCGAACCACGAAAATTTAATATTTTCCACTGCCAGAGACAGTGGGGACGTGTCTTTTACACTCCACAACAATAACCTGTAATGGAGATAGTTGTGTCCATAGCTTATATACGGTCTATGCTTAAATGTACTTCAGAGTAGGATTTTAAAATATGAAGGCCTCAGAGCCGAAGAATTTTTTTTTGATAAGATTGTATTCAAGGAGACATACCGTGTCAACAAAATGTGTCCCCGTTCTTAAATATTTGATTGTGATCATGTAAATGTGTCAGCTATTCTTAAAATGAAAAACGTTCTGGTCCTTAAACCTCATATTGAACCTGAAGGAGTCCCCCCCACCCTGTTTTCTCACTTGTCTAAACTTAGATTTGACATAAATTTGCACCTGGTCTAAAAACGCTTCACTCGACTCAAACGTGAAATGCACTAAAAGGCATTAGAAAAACATAGTAATGTCCCAGTGGAGAGCCCTGATGTGACACGGCTCCGTTTCTCTCCTATCAGATCTGCTCTTGACTTTTGAGCATTGGGTGAGCATTTTTTTTTTACAACTGTCAAGAGCAGGACTTCCTGTTATTTTCAAAGAACTTGCAGATGATGGATGATAAGTGAGCGCACGCAGCGAGCGCTCGACTGAACGTTGAGTCTTATTACGTGTTAATAACATGGAAAAAGCCACCATTAAACATTTTAACGTCAATTAAAACTCATATCTGTCGATCATAAAAGGGATGAATTCAAAATTAGATTTGGGCTCGCTCGTTCGCTAAATCAATCCTGTTGCGAATGTTTATGTTTTTCTTACCCATAAGTCAAATCCAATGAATGTTTTTCTTACCCATAAGTCAAATCCCATGAAAGTTCCAAGCTGACAAGTAAAACATCTATATTTACTCATGGCTGCAGCTGAAGATAAACAATCACTGCTGTGATTTACAAATGGCCACTTGCCTCTTTTACACTCTTTAAATGCAAAGGCAACACAAACATGACAAGTCAAGTAACCAGTGGACATTTTTGCAAAAGGAAACACAGGAAGTTGTTGAGCTTCTTCGCTGCAGTTGTGCACGAAGACTGAGCGTGTCTCTGCAGACGAGGAGTGTTTTTTTTTTTTGTTTTTTTTGCCTGTGCCATTTCCTGTGTGAGCTCAACACGGTTTAGATAAAGACACAGACACTGAGAGTTTCGAATGCCTACAGAACGGTCGTGATTGGAGGGTGTTGTCGATCATGTCGCGTTTGAGGCCTTCTGTTGCGGATTCGTGCTTTTGCGTGATTATTAAAAACGAGGAAGTTTGTCGCAGCGCAGAAGGGGAAATCAGTATGTGCAGCCTGTCACTGGGATCAGCAGAGCCCTGACTCAGTTCCTCAGTGATCTAGGTGTCAACAGTCCTCATTGTTGCTGGTTGCTAACAAAGTTTGTGTGACCCCGGTGTGGTATTTTACCAACAATAAAATGGTTATATGTTGAGCATGTCGCTCTTTTGGTTCTTTATTTGGAGAATGGCGTTGAAAATGCTTAAAATTCTTGAAAAGGTCTGTGAAGATGCTCAAAATTTTCTCCTGGGGTTCAGTGTGTTTTCTGTCACAAGCGAGGCTAAAATCAGTCATTTGAACAACTTTCTGCTTCCGCACCTTTGCCGGTGATGGGCATTTTCAAAAAGGTGAGATGAGGAAGTCTTCTCTTTGGTGTCCGGTCCTTAAAGCAGAAGTGAAATGTTGCTTTTGCGGTTCCCCTGTGGTTCCTCTAGTTCTGGTTTCGGAGAAGAACTAGCTGCAACAGGAAATGAGGCAGGAGGCAGTGTTGAACACGTAAGAAGTAAAATTAGAATGAATGAACGTCCGCCTTAATTCTTGTGTGTTCTGAGAGAAAACACCTGCTGACACGTAGCGGTCAGCAAGGGTTGCAGTCCGAGTCCGGTCCTTATACCTTGGTCCCTGGTGATCGAGACATGATCGCAGTCCGAGTCCGGTCCTTATACCTTGGCCCTTTTCCAAGTCCCTGGTGATCAAGACATAGAAAAGTTTTGGTCAAGTCTTGAGGCTTGAGGACGTCACACCAAATGAAACCACCTTAAAGAAAGTCAACAGGGACAACGATGTAGATGTTTAAAAAATCGTCCAAACTCTTGATACGTGTTTCAAAAAGAGCTGTCCTGATTCCACCCACATGACCACTCCCACCTGGGCAAGGATCTACCAATTACTTTAGACGGGCCCAATTGCCAGACCATCATCATTTTAGCACAGTATTAAGTAAACATGAGATGTGTTATGTCAACTTTTGAAGCACTAGAAGTTGCTGTTACTTCTCAAACAGTGAGGCGGGGCCAACAGTTTGGCAACAGTTTCTCGCTCTCTTCTCAACTGTCGTCATGGTTACATGTCACTGTCCTCTGCCCCCCTTCGTCCAAATACGTGCCGAAGAGGTGGGCGGAGTCTCATTCACAGTCAATGGTAAAGGCACAGGAACTGGTCTGAAAAAACTGGTTTTTAACCAGATTCCACTTTGCTCAGTTTCTTTACTCCAAGCACAGCGCGTTCCGTATATTTCCTTTAGATGTCAAGTAATCATTTTATCTGTGTAAAAATAGATGCACTACAGCGCTGCTAGCATGGCAGCATTGATCACACTAATGATAATCCTAGGCCATGTTTGAACTTATTTATTGTATTTTTTTTTTTAATGATCCACTGGGAGAAGCTCTGGACACGGAGTTTCCACCCAGTGTTTCCACCTGTTGATCAAACTTTGACTTCATGGGATCGTTTCATGACCTCCACGTGAGGCAGTTTTTCCTGCTTTCGGATTACATCAGTCGTAACCACCACCACCACCACCACCATCACCACTCCTGCTGCTGCTGCAGTTTGTGTCCTCTATTTACCTCTTATCTGTGATCCCCGGTCAAAATACGGGCTTCAGAGACCTCGCCTTCATCACACCCGAAACTGCTCTTTTGTCTGCAGTAGATACACTAAAATACACGAAATCACTAGATTTGTATTCTACATTTCACCAGTCCATGCGACAGGAACAGCGGGGACAGTGGGGGAGGTTTTTTTTGTCCTTGTTGAGCCCTACCAGAGCTGTAATTCAAACCAACAATTCTCCAATCATAAGCCTGACCTTTGACCCTACCCCAGACCACGAGCCGCAGCACTGGTTTATTCAATAGCGGTAGTGTGTTTTGTCGTTGAACTCTTCTTGTATGTAGTTACTGAACTTTTAAGATATTTTGGAGATTAAAGCGAGGAAAACCTAAATAAAGATGCCTAGAAAGTGTAAAAGAAAAAGTACTAAGAGGTTCAGCGAAAACAGTGATCTTTGAAAAATGCACCGATGGATTTGTGTCCGTGTCCAAAGGCTCATTGTCTGTCCACACTCTGCAGTGTGTTCTGACAACACAGCAGCTGCTGCCGCTGCTACACACATACGCGCGCGCACACGTACGTACACACACAGTATTCCAAACCGTGGGAATACTCCTTCCCAGCTCTTATGTGAACCTCCTGGAACTCGTTTGTTATTTCCTTTGAGTCTCTCCCAAATCTTTCTCCGGTGGTTATAAATGTGTCAAATCTAAAGACATACATGCATCCATTTGTCACCAATTCCAGACCGAATGGCCTGAGCCACTTTAGTGTTAACTTGTTGCTGCTGTTCTTGTGTCTACAGCCCCCTCTGATCCAGGCCATCTTCAGTGGAGACCCTGAGGAAATCCGTCTGCTCATTTACAAATCTGAAGACATTAATGCTCTGGTGAGGACGAAGTACAAACTTTTTTTTTTCACAAACTCAGTAAACTACTGTTTTTTTTCTTCAGTACCAATGCGGTTTATCTTAGCATATCGTCTAACTTCATCGCAGCATTAGGAAGCTTTGAAATCTCTAGATAATTTATCGCAGCATTAGGAAGCTTTGAAATCTCGATAATTTACATGTCAACAAATGTACGCTAATAGTTACGTTGTCCCATTGGACTCAGATTGTCTTCCGTCAAAGTAACAGAGGGTATGATATAGAATTGTCAACATGAATAATCCTGGCTCTTCCAATTACTACGCAACGCTTGTCGGCGCTTGTCGGCGCTAACTGGTAATTAATTTTAAAATTAAGCAACACTCAAGACATGTGCTAGCAGTGATTGGGCTCCTGTTGCAATTTGTGTCCCGGGGTAGTTGGACTTACTTCAGTGCTTTTGTTGTCACACGTAGGAATGTTAATGTATCGCAATTACTCCTAATTTGCCGTGAGTAATTGACATAATTAATACTTTATTATTAATAGTTATTGATTGATTAATGAATTGATTAGATCGAACATTTTCATCCTTTGACAGGCTTTATATGTATGTGTGTGAATGTATATATGTATATATATATATTTGTGTCTCTATATATACTGTATATATGTATAAATATATAAATATATACACATATACAAATATATTTATATAAAAAATATATATAAATACATATATGTGTGTGTGTAAATATACTGTATATAGTTATCACGGCTGTCCACACTTTTTTGGCTTTGGAGCTACTATTCGAAGGATCAGGCTAAAGTGATCTAGCATTAAAAAAACGTCAAATATATATTTACTCATATAAACTGAATATACTTTATACATACAGTTTATGATATGTTGATGTACTTCGACTAAATGCATAGCTTTATGGCACAATACGTTGATCCCGACCTACTTACCCCTGCTATATATGTGTATGTATATACGGAAAACAATAACATCGTTAAAAATATATCATCACGTTCATCCGACGTCGTTTTGCTGCCGACAGGCAGACAGACGTTGCATCTCCTCATCATTAAAGCCTTCTAAGTCATTAAAGGTGATCATCTCGGGACCAACAGACACAACATTGGCAGACAATCCGTCGTACATAAAAGGAAACAGCCGAGGGCAGTAACTGCATTCCAACTGCCGTGAGACACCCAACACTAGTACCTCTGAAGAAGAAGAGGAGGAGGGGAAAAGGAGAAGCATGGATGTTCCAGGAACAACCATAGAGGGTGAATTTGAAAGTTGGACAAAACTTGTGGACGACCTGGACGTCGGGTTCGATCTGTTCCAGGCCGAACACCAGCAGGTTCTGCAGAGCAACGTCTCGCAAGCCGAGAAGATCGGTCAACTGGCCGCCCAGTTGGAAGCGGAGATCCGACACAACGATTATCTCTCTGAACAGGTGGAGGACCTCAAGTCCAAGCTGGAGGTGGAGATCCGACACAACGTGTCTCTGTGCGACCAGGTCGAGGAGCTCAAGGCAAAGCTGAAGAGACAGAACAACAACAATCGCAAGTTCAGCGACGAGCTGGAAGGACCACAGGAGGCTCACAGAGATGAGGTGGAGAGACTGAAGGATGCCTATCAGATGTTGGAGGACCTTCAGAGGGAGGTCACCAGGCTGTCCTCCAGGCTGGAGACGGGGACCGCAAATGTGGAATCGCCGTCAAAGGAGAAGCAGCGTCTGCCGGTGGAGCTGCAGAGGGAGAGAACCAGGAGGCGGCAGCCGAGCGACGAGCCGCAGGAATCCCAGGGAGGGAGCACCACCAGCGAGACAGAGGTCCCTCATCAGATGTTGGAGAGCCTTCAGAATGAGTTCGCCAGGCTGTCCACGGTGCTGGAGGACGAGATCAAGAAAAACAACGCTCTGACCAAACTCAGAGAGACGGAGATGAGACATCCGCTCAATCATGTCCGTCAGCAGGCTCGCAAGGACGAGAACGGTCCGAGGAACCACCGGCTGGACGCCCAGAGGTACGTCGGCAGCAACTCGGAGACGGACTCCGCCAGAGTCTCCAGCAGGCTGGAGACGGAGATGAAAAAGAACATGTCTGTGTCCAAGTGGGGTGTGATTCAAGATGGAAGGGCGAGGAGGGATGAGGGGAAAAGAGCGAAGGACAAGAAGCCGAGATTCAGGAAGAAGAAGAGGAAGGGTACCGAAGGATCGGACGATTGACACAGACGCCAAACGTTCGCTAGTTGCGTTGCGAAGACTAAGCTTGACATTTGGCATCATTGTTATTATTGTCAGGTTCCAGTACTACCATGTAGGTACTGTTCTAGGACCTGTGAACATTTTAGCGACAGTTTTTCGGCCTGGAAATGGACCTTGCTTAACACATTTTCCACTTTGAAAGCGGACTGGAACCGTATCAACATGAGTCGCGCGGTTTTGTCGCGAACTTGCATTTGATTTGTCTCGACGTTTTGTACAACTTCATGACTTTTGATTGTAAACGGTGGACTTGGTGCGGACTCAGAGTGACTTTCTTACATGCCGCGGGACTTATTTGTGTAATTCTTAAGTGGTCTTCGCCACGGCGGAGGACACACCAGACATTCCAACTTCATGACACAGTTAAAAAAAAAATGTTAAAGCTATTTTTGGTCACAAGACTGTCAACTTTAAAACCTCTAAGAGTTCAGCACTACGTGTTCAGCGCAAGCCCAAGCTGAAAAGCTGTTTTTATCCTTAAAAATATGTTGTTATATATATATATTTTTTACATGATTTCGTACGACAATATTTGAGTTTTGCAACATTTTACAAAACAAAACAAGTTTTAAATAAGGAATGGGTTGAATCTGTGTCTAATTTCGAAGAGTATACCGGTTTACTGAATAAGACCTTCAACTCAGATATGCATATGTTTTTATTATACAAACTGATATTTTTTTTTGTATAGTACAAAATGTTTAGGTACATATTTATGTACACACTCGGTATATATTTTTAAGATAGGATTTTTTTGGATTCAAAAACAGTGTTGCATTAAAAATTCCTCACTAAAATAAACACTCAGTTTGAACTTTGTGTCTGCAGGGGCCTCGGTGTAAACCAACGGCTTTGGAAAGGAAATAAATTTTTAATTTTTTAGATTTTTGCTAATGGCCCGTTTGTTTACATTCAGCGGCCTAAATTAAAAAAAAAAAGTTTATAAAATGTATTCATTTGAATTTTGAGTGAAATACATATTTTAAATATTTGTATATTATAGCTAACATATAATTAGGCTATTTGTTATGAATATTGTAATGTTTATATTTTAGGCTACATTTTAGCTGTATTTTCGGCTAACTTTCTTTATTATTATTATTATTATTATTATTATTATTATTATTATTATTATATAGCAGTTGTGGCTTAGTGGTTAAGAAAGCAGATTTGGGTCCAAAAGGTTTAAGGTTCGAGTCCACCAACTACTAAGTTACCACTGAGGTGCTCTGAGCACGGCACCGTCCCCTGGGCGTGAGGTCACATTTGGTCGTGTGCGGTGGTGCAGTGCTGTGTCACCATGACAAGTAATATTTTTTTTATTTCTCCAGGATCCCGAGAAACGAACACCGCTGCACGCGGCAGCTTTCCTGGGCGATGCTGAGATTACTGAGCTACTCATCCTCTCTGGTGAACTCTGCTGCCTCTTACACACACACACACACACACACACACACACGAACACGAACCCAACACCATTTGACGCATTCTTGTGTACCAGATAAAGTACTTCTTGTCTCTTTGTTTCATATTTTCATGACCATACCAAACTGGCTCGTATCAGTTCCTCTGTCACGTCAGGGTTTAGCAATGTTGACACACATTTCATGATCTTTAGTTCTTCCTAGGGTGGGGGGGTGGTGGTTTTAAAAGGATACTTTTGACAAATGACAAACTCTTGCCCCAATAGACCGTCCGTCAGCTTTAGTCTTTGGTCAGATCTGTAGCGTCTTCAAATGTGCTCACTCCTTTTTTTACTTTTGAATGAAACGGCATTCTCGCAAAAAGTATGTTCCCACTTCACATTAAAGTGACTGGGTTGGTAAATTATTGCCGCTTTCACCAGTACGTTCACACGTGATGTTGTGTGTGACTTGAGTGGTTGGAATTCTTTGCATGAATTTAGCTTAGCGACACTAATTGACGATTTAAACAGCAGAACATTAGCGGCCGCTGCGTCTCTGTGACGCTTTTTCTATAGACTTTGAAATGAAATTTCAAAAGTCCATAGACAGTCCTATATTTTATATATATATATATTTTTAAATGTATGTCTTTGGTAAACAATTCAATCTTATTATATATATATATTATTATCATATTAAAATCCCTCTGTGTCTTTCTTTCGTCCGTACAGGGGCAAGGGTCAACGCCAAAGACAACATGTGGCTCACTCCTCTGCATCGCGCGGTGGCGTCTCGGAGTGAGGTGAGTGAGCGCACGCACGTACACACATACACGCGCACACGCACGCGAACCAAGGCCGCTCGATGACGTCCAACGATTTGTGTGCAAACACACACACACACAAAACATTCAAAGCTGTCGTCATCATCTGCGGTTCTGCCCTCCCCTCGGACGTCACGCGACGCATCGTAGGTGTCGTGTTCCAGGGAGAGATGAGGGCGAGAGAGAGAGAGAGAAAGAAAGAGAAAGCCCTCTCAATCTCTGGCTCTCTTTCACACACACACACACAACAGGTAGATCTACATAACTGAAATAACTGCGCGGTGAAGCAGCGTGTAATGTCGTGGTGTGGTCAGTGTTGGATTTCTTTATACTGCGGGAACACAGATTATTGTTTTAAACCAAAATGATTTATAGTTTGAGAATTTGTTGAAAACTCAGTAGAAAAGGTCACTTCAAGGTCACGATTCAGATTCATAAAACCTCGTTTGTCCCCAAGGAGGATTTCATAAGCTCCGGTTAGATGTGTAGACCAGAGTTCTGAGCTCTAAACTTCCTGTCTAGAACCCCACCAGTTTCATATGGGCTTCAGCGATGGCCAAGCTGGGGGGCGTGTCATCACGAAAATCACGAGTCGGGTGTGCGTCTGGTCCTCTGTCGTACCCGAGACCGACTCACCAAAACCCCTAGGGTTCGATCGAACCCAGGTTAAGAACCACTGGTCTAGAAAAACTTCTCAGACTGTAAACGTTCCTAAAGTTTACGCCAGCGCCCCCTGTGCTTGGCATGTGCAGGAAGCAAATTTAAGACAAAGTAGTCCAGCTAAAAAAAAAAAAAGCTAACACCGAACCTCGCTGCTTATTTTGTCGTCCTCAGGAGGCGGTGCGAGTTCTGATCCGACATTCGGCGGACGTCAACGCTCGGGACAAGAACTGGCAGACGCCGCTGCACGTCGCCGCCGCCAATAACGCTTTGAGGTGTGCCGAGGTCATCATCCCACTACTGAGCAGCGTGAACGTGTCGGACCGCGGCGGACGAACTGCCCTGCACCACGCTGCCCTCAATGGCCACACTGAGGTACTGCAACACGCTGACGTTGACTGTAGTTTTGAATTTCAATTATTCTTCCTCTTCCTTTTTACTGCAACATGTTCCAAGAGCCTTATTGGCAGATTGGCAGCGTGTACTGACTCTATTCTGATATACATGTACTTGAATTGAAAGTACAGTTGACTGAAGCTTCAGGTTACAATATTTCTCTACTTTACTTCCTCTATTGATTGAGTGTTACCACAGGACCGGCTTTTCTTGTTATGATAGTTTGAAGTGGTTCTTAATTATTTTCTGTCATGCCCCCTCTTGGGGACAGAAATGTTTTCACCCTCCTCTACCCCCCCGACCCAAACCTCGCAAAAATACAATTGAGAACCAGATTTTTATCTGTACAAACCACTGTATGAGGTGCTGCCACCTAGTGGCTGGAGGCCTGTTATCATTCAAGCATTACAGCAGTGGTACACTCATGTCCAGGGTGCCATATTCCATTCGAAGCCCCTCACGCCCCCCCAGCACCTCACCACGCCCCCTAAAGGAACAGATGGGTGGGTGCCATTCGAAGTCTTCTTCTTTTTCTTTCGGCTTTGTCCCTTTTTTCAGGGGTTGCCACAGCGAATCATTGATTTCCATATTGCCCTCTTCAGCTTAGGTTATGATGTAAAAAAAAAAGAATGTTACTATATTGATCCCATATTTGGGAAATAGTTGCGTTAGCAGCAGATATGCTGTTAACAGGCTGCCCCCAGCAGGTGCCAAGCATGTGGTTTCTCTGGGAATCGAACCCAGGGTTCTCTGCTCTCTGCGTCAGAGGCAGGCGTGCTAACTGCTATACTATGGAACCTGTGGGCTGTTGGTTGTGAACCTTCCCGTGTATGAGTTTTTGTTTACACTACTCTTATATATATAAAAAAAAAAGAGTCGCCCACTCAGACACTGCCTGACCTGCTACTTCCTGTTCGTCAGATGGTGAACCTCCTCCTCAGCAAAGGAGCAAACATCAATGCCTTCGACAAGAAGGATGGACGCGCGCTGCATTGGGCAGCGTTTATGGGTGAGGGCGGAACACACACACACTCACACTCACTCACACACACACACACACACACACACAGTGCATGTCTTGACATGAGTAAATGACGGAGTGGATCGCGGCGACGTTAACATAAATAACACCCAGTGGTTTTACGAGTTCAACAGGAAACCACCACAAAACAGGTCTTGCATACAGACAAACGTTACAGAACAGGTTGGTTTAAACGTCGCTGTGAAAACTTTCGAATCCTTACTAAAGAAATACGCTTACTAATGAGCCACAAATATCAGGAATGTACGTGTCGGGTATTTTTGTGGTTACCTACATGTCTAATTAAGAATACAACGAAACTTTCTTTTTGATTTGCTCCCCCGCAGGTCACCTGGATGTGGTGTGTCTGCTGGTGAGTCAGGGGGCGGAGATCAGCTGTAAAGACAAACGTGGTTACACCCCACTGCATACGGCGGCCTCTAGTGGACAGATTAATGTGGTTAAACACCTGCTCAACCTGGCCGTGGAGGTCAGAAGACTTTTTTTTTTTTTATTATTGGCCTCAAAGAATACATCGAATCCTTTCGATTTCTAACTTTTTTTTTTTATTGCTCCAACAACAGATTGACGAGTCGAACGCGTTTGGCAACACGGCGCTCCACGTGGCCTGTTTCAACGGCCAGGACGCCGTCGTGAGTGAGCTGATCGACTACGGCGCCAACGTGAGTCAACCCAACAACAAAGGCTTCACGCCGCTGCACTTCGCCGCCGCGTCCACACACGGCGCCCTCTGTCTGGAGTTCCTGGTCAACAACGGAGCGGATGTCAACGTGCAGGTACTTGCGAACGTTTATAACCGATGTGTAAAATCATTTCAAAGACTTCCGATCCTTCGTTTCTTCAGATCTGCTTTATCTGTTCTGACTTTCAGAGCCGGGACGGGAAGAGTCCTCTTCACATGACCGCGGTCCATGGACGCTTCACTCGTTCACAGACCCTCATACAGAATGGTTAGACCTGGTTATAAAGTAAAGAGTTCAACGTTTTTTTTTTTTTTCATTTTTCATCACAAACTCTTTTCATTCCAGGTGGCGAGATTGACTGCGTGGACAAAGATGGTAACACTCCTCTTCACATCGCCGCCCGCTACGGTCACGAACTCCTCATCAACACGCTCATCACCAGTGGAGCCGACAGTACAAGGTAACAATGGACTCGTAGATCAAATTTAGAATCACCGAGAAAAAAAAAAAAAAAAAAGAAGGATTCACTGTTGTTTTTTCTCCCTAAAAAAGAAGAGGAATCTACGGAATGTTCCCTCTTCACCTGGCTGCTCTGAACGCTCATGCTGACTGCTGCAGGAAGCTGCTCTCCTCAGGTAAAAGTCGACACTGTTTTTAAGACCATTTCATTGATAATTGTGTGTCAGATTGTTTAAAGGAGCTCTTAAAAAAAAGTTAGTAAAGTAAAGTAAAAAAAAAAACTCTTTTGGACTCTTTTAGAGTCAAACATGGCTGAGAGGAAATCTCTCGAATAATTTCATGGCCAAAAGCAACAACTAACCTTTTCAGAGTGAAGTAAAACACGACACTGATGCAGCGACCGGAGGAACTGACACAGAGCAGGCCCTTGTGCACGGTCGTCCCATCAGCTGAGTCACAATCGGGCTGTTATAAATTAGAGTGTTTATTTCTAGAGATTCTCCACTGGGAGCGAGGAGCAGCGTTAGAGATAAACAGACTCGCAATGAATCTCTAGGCCCTGTCGTTTTTCAGAGACTTGGTCAAGACCCGTGCACGGGGAACAAATGTTAGAGCGTGTCTGTTACTGGACTGGATTATTTTTTAAGATTTCACGAAGATTCACATCAAAACAACACCACATCAAATTAAAGTTAAATTCAATTTTCTTTTCAAAACAGAAACACAAAATGTTAACAAGTAGTTAAATTCAATTTTCTTTTCAAAACAAAAACAGAAACATCGAATGTTAACAAGATAAATTTCCCTACGGGGGAAAATAAAATTCTGTGGTTTCACACTGTAACTGCTGCTGCTTCTGTCCCTCAACGTCTCCGTCTCCTCACTGTGACCGCTGAGCCAAACGCATCAGCATCGCCCGACCTCCGTGACTTGGTTGTCCACCTCCTCACCTGTCACACTAACACCTGTCTTCCTCCTCCCCGTCTCCCTGTGTCTCTGTGGTAACGGCCCTGGCCCCTGCACTTGCCTGTGTCCTCCCCGTCTCCCTGTGCTGTCCTGTCCCCCCCCCCCCCCCCCCCCCCCCGCCCCCGCCCACGCTCGC